TGTACAGCTCCATCATACCCAAGCTGCTTTACCAATGGGCAAACAGCCCCTGGTGCACATTGTACAAGTGGTCACCTGAGCTGGTCTGGACATTATGGAGATGAGAAAAATCTCTTGCCCCTGCCATGAACTGATCCCCGACTCTCCACACCAAACCATGTTGCTATACCGACTGAGCTATCTTCACTCTTACAGCCAGAGCAACAAAAAAAAAAATTAATTCTCTTAATCAGTTTCCAGGACAATCTCAGTCAAAATCTGTCAAATTTCTCAAAATATATCAGTATAATTAAAAAACAAAAATACAATTTTATATGCACACTGAAACCAAACACATTTCATTCCTACATCATACTGCATACAGAATATCAGAAAGTGCCATCTTGTCATTTGCAACTGGCCCTTACGTTTATGTACCAGTAACTGGCAGTACACCATCATCAACATAGTGTCCTTACATATCAGTATTCTTAACTATAGGAACTGTTCACACAGATGTCATTTCAACTAAGAGTACTTAAAACAAATACAAAATCTGATACTGTTTTGTCATTTTCAGCATCATCAGAACAAGAACGTACTATGAAGAACACAAAGGAGAAACAGTAAAAGTAAAAATAAAAGTAAAGGTATCCCTGTACCAGGCCGTGAAGGCCCACAGGTTTGTGAGACGTTGAGGGTCCCACATTATCTAGACAATCGGCTCAAAGATGGCGGTAAAGTTGTCAGCCGTATGCGCCGGCCGCGCTTTACTCCCCAGGAAAATTATTTAATTAATTCCTGGTACTCATTTCTGTTAGAGGCTGAGTCAACCTCAGGGTCATAGTATGGCCGGAAGAATTAGGTCAACTGAAAAAAATCCAATGACCTCATCAGGACTTGAACCTGCAACCTTCTGGCTTGTAGCATAGCTCCTCAACCAACTATGCTACTGCAATAACCAAACAAAAAATTAAACAAATTAAAGCTATTTTAACCAAGTACACTGACAATAATCCAGTAACATGCGCACATATTCATGGTGAGAGCATAAGCAAATTTTGTGGATGAAGGCATGTTCATGTTTTACGTTAACTGGCTGGTAATGTATTTACAAGTTACCCTCCCCAGCTCAGAAATTAAATGAAGGAATACATTACAGGATGCAGACAAACTTGTTCCCATGATGGCTTGAATATAGCAATTGTGCCATTTGATATAATTCTCCTACAGTGTGTTCAAAAATTTCATGTCTCCAGGAAACAATTACAGATCACTACCACCAGTTCAATGTTAAGTTTGGGGAAGTCCATGTCATCTTGGGAGTGAAATCTGCTCTCTGGCTGGTGCGCAGTGTCACACACTCACACATGGACGAGATTTTGTTTGTGTAAGTACATATCATAGCAATGCACAGCGACCACAGCAGCAGTATCTCCCAATTCACCAATACGACACTGTCTTACTGCTTTATGATTTATTATTTGCAGACAGGGTTGCCAACTCTCGTATAACTTCAAAAAAACTGAAATAGGAAATACCTCAAGATTTGCATGTCTCCTGACTAAATTAGGCTTTTAAACAAAATCATTTCGTTATTAAGTCATAATGCTCACTGCATGGCAGATAAAATATAGTGCCCAGCAGTCACTGGAACCCAACTGCACCGTAACTCTGCCCCACAGAACAGGCAGTGCTCTCGTCTAAATGGTAAAATAACCCATTCTGTCCAAGAAACCCTCAGAGTGCTAACAACAAACCTCACACACCCTGCTCCTGAGAATGTGAACCAAGTGCAAGTGGGCTGCGTCACCAGGGTTTCAGGGGGACGTGTAGTCATGTTCAGCATCAAAGGCAGCAAGTTCCTCTGGAACATCAGGAACAAAGGCTACTTCCACAGGGTGCAAATACCCAATGAACCCGTGAAAAACTAAAATCACTGTGTGTGCGTACATATACAAACACACGCATATGCGGAATGTTGAGGCACTATGCTACAAGCCACAAAGTTGCAGGTTCAGTTCCTGAAGAGGTCACTGCATTTTTCAATTGACCTAATCCTTCCAGCTGCACTATGACCCTGCGGTCAAGTCAGCCTCTAACAGAAATGAGTACCAGGAATCTTCCCAGTGCTAAAGAATGGTAGGGGTGTAAGCCTGACAACTTCACTGCCATCTGTGAGTCAACTGCCTAGAAAATGTGGGAGCCTTGATGTCTTGCAACCTTATGGGCCTCCAAAGCATGTTACAGAGAGAGCTTAACCCTTTTACTTATGTGTTTGTGTGTATAATGCAACATGTCTGCTGAAAGCCAGAATTTTGAAAACAGCAGAGACAGCCATTACTAGGCAACAACACTGCAAACGTGCCTATTGCTTCATAATGGCTCAGTAGCCACAATGTGATCGTGGCAACGGACATGCAACAATAGAAGAGGTGCTGGAAGTGGTGGGGCTATATTTTGAGAACTGAAACCTATAAGTCAAGTCTGAAGTCATGCAGCCCAAGAAAATCTGAGTCTATCACCTGGTGGAGGCATGAGAGACAGAGGAGTCGCCATTGCTGAAAGCATCGCGTATCAACGCTAAGATGAGTCATCAGTGGTTAGAAGTGTAACAAAATAAGTCCTGAGTCATGGCTAGAAACCAGCTAGGGCTGGAGCTGTAGAACATGGAAGCTGAGGGTTGCATTGCTGTGGGAGCCACTGCGAAGCAGTGCCTACAGAACACATAATGAGTAGACCTAGTGTATGAAGGGGTACCCAAAAGAAACCTAACTTATTCTTTTTAAACTTATTTATTAAAATTTTAAGCACAAACCTTCAATCCCCTTCAAAGTACTCTCCACTTACACTAATACACTTGTCTAGTCTTTTATTCCATTTTTCAAAACATTGTCTAAATTCATCTTTTGAGATGCTTGACAGCGCCTCCATCGTTTTTTCCTTTCATATCTCTTTTCATTCAAGGAAACAAAAAAAAAGTCGCACGGGGCTAGTTCAGGTGAGTATGGAGGGTGAGGAACAGGGGTCATACCATTTTTGGTCAAGAATTGTCATACAGACAGGGCTGTGTGAGCAGGGGCATTGTCATGATGGAAAAACCAGTCACCCGACTGCCACAAATATGGCCGCTGAGCTCCAAGTCACTTCTGACAGCTCCACAATTTCTTCACTGTTCCGTTGTCGATCTCCTTGATGATTTCACTAATTTTTTCAACATTTTCATGTGTTCGGGCCGTGGAAGGACGACCAGAACGAGGTTTGTCATCAATTGACATTTCACCATTTTTGAAACGGGAAAACCACCCAAACACTTGAGTTTTCCCCATAGCATTGTCCTTTTACGCCGTTTTTAACATTTCAAGAGTTTCTGTTCCACTTTTCCCGAGCAAAAAGCAGAATTTCACCGCTGCACGCTGTTCACAAAAATCAGCCATTGCAAAAATGACGATCACACAAAACAGTTGTCACTATAAACTCTGCCGAAACTAGTCCTCACCTTCTGAAGCAACGGTAGTCGGCTTATCGACTCAGGAATGTTAGCTCTATGCGCTCATAGCGGCAGAACGCGGTACTACAAAAGCTCTGCCCACAAAAAAATTAGTTCGGTTTCTTTTGGGTACCCCATCGTATACTACAGTGAACTGCAAAGTATGTGAATTAATGTTATAAATTAACACCAATGAACACCAAAGATAACATTCAATTACACCCAAACCTTGTTGGCAACCCTACTAACAATTCCTACATTTTTGGAAATCAAATCTATGCTGAAACATAATACAACAAGACTGTCTGTCAGTGATCATACCATAGAATTAAAAGAAAAAAAACCTGTTTATATATAAAAATAATTCCATTCCTGGAACCAATATTTCAAGAACCCTTCAATCTGTATATAATTCTACTTTTATGCTTAAATCATGGACATGGAAGAGGCGATGACCTATTGATTATCCCAGATCTCACAAGTTTAAAAATTCTGATTTAATGTCAAATTAATTTCTTCAACTTCTAAAGGAGTAGAGCTATGAGTATTAAATATAAATATTTCTGCAGTAAGAATGCTCAAAACTTTGTCAGTGCTTCTCTATGAAAAGAAAAAGAAAATTTGTATTAAAGAATCAAAATAATTTTGTACTAAAAGGCACGTCAGATAGTCAGAATTATAAAATAATTCCAGTAACAAATTCAGATAGCTTTAAAACATATCCATTGTTTGATGAAGTAGGCAATAACAAATACTGCGCATCATACAAATACAACTGCATTCTGAAACTTTGTTAAAATATCACATATCAAAATAATTTATGAAACATGATCTGAGACATTATCTCATGATGGCTATTTCAGCCTGAAATTAAACACATCGTCAACTGGAAAAATGCTGATGGAACACAATTATCAAATTAAAAATCAGATGACTAACCTGAAAATTCAATTCTAAGAATCATTACAGGTGTTATGATGGTATATGCACTTTCTCCTGGAATGTGACATAGTGTAGCCTGATAGAAGTTTGCTGAGGTTTCAGAGGAAATAGCTGCCCCTATCTCCAGGACCCAAGAGCAAGCGAAACAACAGGCAATCAGCACTCTGTTTATAACATGTTTCTTCACTGTAGCTTGCTTGGTTTACTCTTTCACCCTGAAGATGGATGCAGCATTTTTCTCCGAAACGTCAGTAAATATCTACCAGACTAAGTGGTATCACATCCTAGAAGACAGCATTCCTCAGTCACTACAGTAAGAACCTCAAATCCAGTGTATCTGTAACTTCAGCATGAATGAAGAATGCACAAGAAATTCCAAAAATAATTAAAAATGCTGTAATTTTTAGTGCCGCCACTGACATAATATACAGAAACAGCTATCCAGCATGTGACTGACCAATTAAACTGTTCTTAAGAGATGTCACTGACATTATCTCCCTCAGTCAGTCACTGGATGTTGAATGCCATAATATTTGAGTTTCGAATCTTCACACGCAGCTTCTGGGTTGAAGATAAACATAATGCCTTGATACATAAATACAGTTTATTCATTAAATCTTGCCATATAGTAAGTATATCCTATAATCTTACCAAAAACTCTGGTAAAAAGAAAAAAAATGTAACTCACTGGACTAGCTCAAGATTAATTTCATCTGTTATTTCGGGCAAAAAGTAACATTAAAAAATTGTATACTCACTAATAAGGTACTACACAGACTGACACGCATGTTGCTGCCAAGAGTAACCAGTTAAAAACTTGAAAAAACATTATGATGCAGGGGGAGAATAAAACAGACTCTAGATGTATCTCTCCTGATGGCAAACCTTCAGTGCTCTCAAAGTGCATTCCTTCTAAGAGGGAAAGTATAAACAGTGAAAAATAAAAATCTGCTAGCATTATCTAATCACACTATATGCTCTGATTACAGTATGCATCACATCTCTGTTTAATGTCACGTGACAACAAAACTTAATTTAAATATAAATAGAAAGAATGAGAAGATTAACTTTCACAATTATGAGAAGAGCTGAAACACCATTTTTCATTCAGAACACAAGAGCACTACAGCCTACTGCAAAGGATGGCTGTAAGCAATCTGTAAAATAAAATTAGCTGCTGTGTTCATTGCCCTGTTTTCTTCTCACACATATCTTCCTCTCCTTTTGATTCTTGGACATTTACTGGGATTTGTTTCTTGTATTCAAAGGGGTCAAGGAAGCTTCAAGGATTTGCTATTCATCGTCAGTGTCTCCTCCATCACTGGAATAATCCTGGATTGGTGCTGGGCGGGTAAATGGGGCACTTGTCATCTGCCTACAAAGTACAAACAAAAACATGTTACCAATAATAACATATAAAATGTTTACAGAGCATTTGACAGAAACATGACAGACCTAATCTTCCTCACCTCTGCCTTGAAATTCTGTCACAGCAACTTAGGTTGCCAACTGCAAAAATGAATTCCTTGGAAGGCATGGATGTTAGTATTTGTGAAACTGTATATTTACTTCAAAATACAATCTGACAAGTAAGACCAATACAGGAAAAAATACAGACTTCATGTTGTGACACCAAACAACAGCACTATACGTTACAAATATTCAGATAACAGGAACCAAGAAAAGCAGATCAGATGAAATGCAGAATCGCATTGGCATGTGCAAGTCTCAAATTAACAAAATTGAATAAAGAAAATACCCCAACCTTAACATTGATTTTTCAGACTCAAACCCTGAGAAGTATGAAATAACTGTGTACCCTTCGCAAAGAAGCAAGAAAACTAACTGATCCATTGGAACAGTAGTTACTGGCAGTACATACACAAATCAAGTGGTCAGAAACATCTGTTTCTCTTTCCTTCTTTCCGCCCATGGTGAAAAGGGGTATGGGTTTGAATTACTTTTCTCTATATGACTGACGAAAATCTTTCCTAAAAAGATCTGATATCAAACAAAATAAAGAGTACTCTGTATTTCATTGTGAAAAAGTGGGGGGGAAAAGTCTCAAAAGTAAAATCCTCAATTTTTTTAAATTTTCAAAATGTTTCCAAAAACTCATATTGATCTTGAATCAAACTGAAAAATTCATGCTCGAACATGCCTGGAATTGAGAATACAGGAACAGTCTAGATCTACAAGCTCTGTGTTATGAAAAACCGCCAGTATTAGATAATAATAATTTCATGGACACTGAATCAACTCACGCAAGCCTACGATAGTGATTCAACCACTCCTCCACCATCTGAGCGACCAGAAGTGGCCGTTTGTGAAGTCTCTGCTGAGCTACCAGGATGCCTCCTTCAGCAACACAAACATCCAGCCACTGCCGGAGGATACTCTCTTCCCTTCCCAGCTGAAACAATTCAAATTTCCTCTGTTCAGAAATAGTGAAATCCCAATTTATTGTTCCCACATTTGGCAAACATTTTTCTGGTCTTAGCCAGAGCCCAATATAAAAAATGTATCATTTTCCCATAGGAATTAATTTTCCTTGAGTAACTTGCCTGTACTTAGTATAAAAAAGTTTCAGCTTTTCCAGAACCCATATTTTATGTTCCCATTTTATTTCTCCCCAAAATCATTACCATGTAACCACAATCTTTGCCAAGTGACATCACATACAGAACACATATTGTTGCCATGCTGCTTGCAATGCAATAGTTGCTTTCATTCTTGACTTACTGACCTCAGCTTACACGATGAAATGTGACTCACTCACCTCAGTTTGTGTGAGGAAGTGTACAGGCAAAAGTTTGTGATCATGGTCCATAAGTGGCAAGAATGTGACCTGCAGCTCGTCTGGGCCCAAATTGTTCGCACCACCTGCACCCCCTCTTTCCAACCTACTGTAAGGTTCCATAGGAACTAGAGCAGAGAAATGGCCTCGGGTGTATCCCAAAGCCAGGGGTGACCGCACACAAAAACTTTGCTCCCAGAGTAATGGAAGATACACTCCTACAACAGACAATATATTTTTTGGTTTTACGTTATCTGTGTTGGAGTTATGGTCCTCCAGGTTGGGGGCTTCACACAAGACTGATGACCTTCCACAGTAAAAAGAAATTACTGCTGCAAAATCAAAAGAAGTAAAAACCAGATGCTCTATACAAGAATGTGGCAGAATTTTCTAAGGAGAGCCATGGTTCATAAAGGGATACTGCAGCTGCTGATGATGGTGATGATTGTGGGGTTACTGATTTCAATAAGCCAGTGGACACAAAAGCTGAGCAACTGGCAACGTCTCAAGAAGGTCTCAAGTCCATGGAGTTAGTTAACTAATCAGTCAGTCGGTTACTGTAAAAGTTACATAGCAATAATCAACATAAGCATACTGCATGGAAACACATGATCAATGCAAATGTACAAAATTAAAAGACAAAACCGTTTTTTCATTTGTTTATGTTTCTTTATTTTTAAGTCTCTAATACAGTCATATCAGATTGATGGCTGAAGTCCTGCACTGAAAGTCTACGCACATACTTGGCTTACAGCACAGTAAATGCCTGGACAGCATAACAACAGTTATTCATACAATAGAAGAACTGTCAGTGGAGGTGCTTTTTCTTAAGTCCACCCTGGCAGCTGTGCGACCGTGGAATACTGCAGCTGCAAGGAAATGTGTTTTCTTCGGTCCATGCAGAGGCTATATATAGATAATCGAAACACAGCTAAGTCAGTCTCTAAGAGAGTTCGTAGGTAGACAGACGAGTCCAGTCAGAGGCTGCAGTGAGACGGCCATCCATGGTGGAGACATGGGAGGTGGAGCCTGGAATGTTCTAATTCACTGAGAAGTAACAATTAAGTTTGTTGTGAGACATTCGTAGGTCACTAAGGACATGAACATGGAACCTGAGCAAGCTACGTCACTGGAAGCCATTAACAGACAACCGTTCAAGACACAGCCAACTGAGAGGATTTAGTGTGTGCTGTAGTGAACTGCAGAGTTACAACCTGAAAGTGTTCAATAAACCCAATGCCATTACATTACATAACACTGCTTTGTATTCCCTGGATATAAATTTAGTTGAAATCACTGTAGGATGTCATCTGGACAAGTAAATATGTTTCTAAATACCATAATATCTAAGCTTCCATTGTCTTAAGTCTTAGATCATAAGCACCCCACATCTCAACACTTGTTGGTTGAGACAATCTTGCATACCTTCAAACCTGGCATAGCCTATGGCCTCTCCACGGAAGCTCTTAACATACTTGACCCCATAAACTATAATAGGTCGACGCAGAATGTGTGCAAGGGCAAACACATGGAGCTGTTCAAGACTGGATCCTGGCTGACTGGCAAGAGAGAGAAGTCCAGCCCAGTCCTCTTCCCACTGCCCCTCCTCAAGACTGAACTCAAGCAGCTGGGCTTGGATTGCCTCGTATTCCTTCCAGCGAGGATAAAACCTGCAAGCAGCAAAAGTCTGTCAAAACATGCAACCCGTATCTTATTCACGACAGCTAACTGCTCATTACAAGGGCAATTTAGAAAGTAACCTCTGGTCAGCTGTTAACAAAAGAGGCAATGACAAGAAAAAAGTTATAATATACAAAAAATATCTACACACTTGAGCTACTTCTCAATGTAGAGTCCACTGAAACTGAAAGACTTGTTCTATCGGGGAATAAGTTTCTGTATGCCTGCATCAAAGAAGTCTGCAACCTGTAAGCTCAGCCACGTTTTGACACCTTCCATCATCTCCTCATTACTGTTGAAGTGCTGTAACCTCAACCAGTTCCTCAGGTAGGTAAACAGGCAGTAGTCACTTGGAGCGAGACTGGGCTGTAAGGAGGGTGGTCAAACAACTCCTGGATGAAATATTCCAGCAGCATGTTCAGCATTCCATGCCTTTGGTTCTGAATGATCCTGTACAGTTCTTTTTGTGTTTCACAAGCAATACACTTCTGATGTTATTGTGGTCCCTTGCTGCATGAATTCCCTCATCAGGACTCCTTTCCTGTACCAGAACACAGCTGCGATCAGCCTTCCGCCAGACAGCGTTTATTTAAACATTTTTAGCTTGCTTGGAGAATGTGTGCGCACCACTGCTTTGACTGCTCTTGCGCTATGATATTCACAAATGAAATCTGAGTTTCCTCACCTGTTACTCATACAATGTGACTGACAAATGCAGTGGTATTGCTCTAAAAAAATTAAGGTCAAAGACAAAGGCATTCTCACTACCTTGTGTGTACCCATGAGCATTTATGCAACCCATCTGGTGTAAAACTTGAGGTAGCCTAGCCTAACAGTGATAATCTTGTACCCAACAATGTCTGAAATTAGTGGAAATTCACATAAATATTTTGGTCAACACTTTGAACAAGATCATCACTCACTACAGATGGCCGACCACTTTGCTCTTCGTTGTGAACATTTCTTTGCCAACCTTTGAACATTCCACACCATTGTCTTACAGTTCTTTCACTCATTATATTTTGGCCGTAAACCATGCATAGTTCAGAACAGAGTTCCGTAGCAGTCACGTTTATCGCGTGAAGACACAGATAAGAGCGCATATTTCGCAGCTGGCCGTATTATCAGTTGCAGTGCACATCATAACTCACACTGTAGAGACAACAACAAAGTCTAGGTGACCAGTTACGTGATGGTTTACAAGGGAAAGATTCATGTGACACTACCTTGCATGTGCGTGTTCTCCCCCTCTCCCCGATTAGTTGCCTAAAATGAACGCAGGTTACTTTCCGAATACTCCTCGTATATCTGGTGGCTGCCTTCTCCATGTGCAAATATGAAATGAACAACACTGTGGTGTCAGGGACATGCTTAACACAGTCACTACGGGATGGATTCAGATGGGAAGAAGTAATGGCATCCTACGCATTCACAACTTCCCTTTCTGAATGGAGATCTCCATTACAGAAATTTTCCGAATAAACAGGTTCTCCTGTATAAGTCAAAACTATTTCATGAGGGTGCTTTTCAAAAGCTCGACCCTTGGACTAATGTTAAGCTGAAACAGTGACGCCTTGACAGATATGAAACTTACACATGTCCACCTTGATGCAGGCTATCAGCAAGGGCCCTCCTCAGGGTATTGTCACGGTCAAACACTCCCCAAGTTGCTTGCATGGCAGAGTCCAGAAGGCAGTCGCCTGCTGACCGGTTCCACAGTGCATAAAGTCTGGAGCCAAGACGGACAGTCACCTCCAGCGACCAGTTGAGCACTGGTGGCTCCGATTCCAACTGCTGCTGAGCATCCTTGTCCAACAGCTCTTCAAACAACTGTTCCTGGACTGGAGGTGGCAGGTCCTCCACTTCTGCAATAAAAGAGTGGCATAACTACATTAATATATTTTGAATGGAGTAGGTGAGGAGGGAAATAAATGGCATTCTCGTTTTTCTTTTCTATTTGCTACTTCCACCATTTAAGATAATAAGACATGCAAAAGGAAATATATTGTGAGCTACTTGTTATAAGAGTTTGGCCATTTCCGACTTAATTAACCACTGGTCACAGTCTTTTCCTTCCAACATAGCTTTCAAGTGCTTTCAATATACTGGTATATCTCTGCTCAGTTTCATAACACTGGACAAAACTGCAATTTCACATATTTAATCTTTGGTCTTTCTGAAAGGGGACATATTTGCAACACTTTCTGAACACAAATACAATGAACATTTCCTGAAATCCCTGACTACTTAGCTTCATCACGAGACATACATTCTAAGTACTGAGACTGAAAAAAAATAAGGAGTCTGACAATTCAGAGTACATTTTCTCCTAGACATCTTCTTCGCACAGCACTTTTTTTTTTCAAGATAATGGCCCACTGGAAGTACACTTCATGAAACTCTGAAAGCTGCAAAAAGCACATCAGTCAAATTACCAAACACAGAGCATGATCAAATGAACAAATTCAGCCTCTGTCCAAATGTGCTACAAATTTAATAAATGACAGATTTATTGCCATGTCCAACGTGCAGGAAGAAAATTAATGAATATATTAATTTCCTTTCATGACCCTTAACAATTAAATGTTCTCCATGTATTGCTGGTTTCTCACAGCTGAGGAGAAGGTTCCGTCTCAGTAAATGTCCATACACATATGTGAAGATATTTCTCAGAGTACTTCAGTATTTCTGGCCAATCTTCGTCCCATGACTGCACCACACACACATTCATCATCACATCTGCAACTGGTACAAAATGCCTACCTGGGGCCACAGTAAGAGGGGTTTCAGTCTCTCCGAAATCCTATCACTATGGACATTTTAAAAATATCTCCCACAGAGCTTATAGGATGCACATTGCAAAACTGCAGAATTGGCCAGCACATTTAAGTTGAATTTCTGGAACCCTGAATGTATGTGTATGCAATAAAGTTATCTGTACTACTCACGTACTTTGTCAATCTTACTTCCATTTGTAAAGCTTGCTCTTGGAGAGGAAATGATATGACAACGACCAACCTGCAGGCAGAGCGAATGTGGTGAGCTCTGTAACGAAGTGACAGGGGAAGGAGCCTTTGCGCTGACGGACAGTTGATGCCATATGGCGCCTGATGTCTGCGGCTAGGTCTGGAGCTACATACGAAGGAACCCTCTTCACCCCTGAACCAGAACCTTCAATCTGAGACAATAATGTAGCCAGCATGTCCTCACGATGGAACCTGCAGTACAAGGAACTGTTATAGAGACAGTCTGTAACAAATTCTGTGTGTTTGGTAGTGTATTACATTACACGCAGAAATTAAAATTTCTCTAGATTACTGCAGCTGTAAATTTTTTCATTGTATAACAATTTATACCATTTGAAAATTAAAAATTAATTTCTTAACTTCCCCCACCAGAAGCAGAAGCACCTCAATCTGAACTGTAAGAACCGAAGCCAGGAGCATCTCAAACTGACTAGGACACATCTAGATTTCAATTGGTGCATACTGGTATACTGTCTAGCACTAAAGCTTCTTCTTACTACTCTTGTACAAAGCTATGCTATGTGATTATAAGACCTATCTATATTTCACAACACAAACTCTTAATAATTTTCCAACATATGAATTACACCTGCACCCCACAAAAAACACATTATACGACAACACACTCATAATCTTAAATCTTTATGAAAACTTGTCAGTCATCACGAATAGCATCATTCCTAACAGGGGGGCACATGGCAGCATAGGTGGTTGAGGCACTATGCTACAAGCCGGGAGGTTGCAGGATCAAATCCTGATGAGCACATTGGATTTTTTCAATCTACCTATTCCTTCCAGCCACACTATGGCCCTGGGGCACCAAGAATATTCTTGGAATGTTCATGGGAATAAAGAGCGGCCAGCGCATAAGTCTGACAACCTTACCGCCATCTATGAGCCAACTGTCTAAAAAATGTGGGAACCTCAACATCTCACAGCCCTATGGGCCTCGACAGTCGGTTACAGGGATACCTTTACTTCTTTTTTTCATGTTCCTAACAGTATGGTGGGCAAGATGTTAGGTGATGAAAATTCCAACAATAACTTCTCTTCCTCCAATCACTCCATACATTCAAATCACTAAAATAAACTCAAATTCCTGTAACTACAGCAGACATGATATATTTTTGTTGCACTGCTCGAGAAATTGAACAAGTGATCTGATTTGATTAATAAACTTACTCACAACAGCAAAGAGAGATATCTAACACAGGAGTATCAACTTTAACTTTTATCATCCAGGAATTGAGGTCTCAGAAATCCCAAGTACTTCATAAGTGGCAATCACATCTTAGTCCAGGGGTAACACTCTGTCAGGGGGATACAGGCTTTTAAATCTCCTGCTTCTACAGATCTGGCAGCCATATTTTAGCTGGTGGGCAATGGTATTATGTATAGCATTGATGAGGACGCAATGCTCAACCACTTGTTGACAAATTGCACGGTTAGTAAATGTTAATGTCACTTAGGACTTTAGGGCAGCCACTGCCTTGCCTGGATTTGTACAGAGTAACTTCTGAGTTTGAGTCAGGACAGCTTACTGAATAAGAAACAGTTTTCTCACCTAATAGCTAAGTGGACAAGTGTGTGACCAGAGTCAAACGCTGATGGGCGGTTAAGAAGTGTGACTTCATTAGGAGTGAGCTGCCGAGCTGGATCACCACCTGATGATAGGTATGCCTCCACAGGATTAGGATCACCTTCCACAACACCAAGACAAGCATTCAGCCAGTTCCAGTCAGCTTCACGCATTCGCTGTCTGATCTGCTTCAGACGCCGTTCATACTCACAGTTGTTAGGAGAATTGGCCGGAGTGGGAACATCACTTGATGCCTGGTTTCGTTCCGAGCGTCGGGAATTTGACCTGCTGGAAATAAAAATTAAAATTCATATTGCTTTTTAATTCCACATCGCACATCTCCTGCAAATATTCTAGATATATTCATGTTAAGATGATCATAAATGGGCATGAAACAGACAAGGGTTCAACTCTGTACAGCACATGAACCACTTGCTTTGACACGTAGAAACTTCATGCTTCTCCTGCAGGGCGAATTTATAGACGTTTGTTTTCCAAAATGAACTGCAACTGTTCCGGTAACATCACCAATAAAGTAACCTTATCACAAAAATGCAGCGTCTTTTCTTGAAAACAGAATCAGACTTTTTAAATACAGGAGGATTCACACAGAGAAAGCCTTAAATTAATAATTACAAATCACATAATTTATTCACAAAAACGAACTTGGCAACACTGACCCGGTGACTGCCTGCCCAGTTCGTGCCTCTTCTACAATTGCTGCAATCCCTGTAACCAAGCTCTCTGCAGAATTCATTAACATGATCACTGCATTGGTCAGTATCTCCTGGCAGTATGAAACCGATTTCAGCATTTTCAGTTATCTCCAGGCAAGCAGTTACCAAACTTCAATTCCATCAGCAAATTGACAAACGATTTATAATTATCAAAACTTCCTCCTAGTGATTCACCCTGAATCGCTTATAGGAGCTTTGTGCTTTAAAACGTCGACAAAGAAAACTGCTGTAAATCTGCTAGAAAACTGTGCGTGGGTGTGTGTGTATATATATAAACTATTCTACAAGCTTGAAGGTGGCGGGTTGAAGTCCCGATGAGGTCATTGGATTTTTTTCAATTGACCTAATCCTTCCAGCCACACTAGGCCCTGGGGCTTACTCAGCCTCTAACAGAAATGAGTACCAGGAATTAACTAAATAATTTTCCTGGGGAGTAAAGTGTGGATGGCACGTAAGGCTGACAACCTTACCGCCATCTTTGAGCCGACTGTCTAGATAATGTGGGACCCTCAATGTTTCACAACCCTATGGGCCTTCATGGCCTGTTACAGGTGTACCTATACTTTACTTTATATATATATATATATATAGAACTGGTGACAATTACTCTTATGGATACAATCTGCTTGTTACAGTTGTGGGCAAACTTTTGCAATTCTATCCATGCTTCTTCACAGATACAGGCAAGTGGCATGCACTACTGCCATCAAGTTTAACATGTGTCCTATCCTGTTAGCAATTTTCATACATACTAACTGCCACATTTACAGGAAATCCAACTTTTTAGATGACATTCCTCAAGGAACTACAGAAAAATGATATACAGCATGGAATAACGTAGAGGATCCAACTGCAATGGATACAAATATATTAGAAACTTAACTATAATGATGAGTTCCTACCTCCTTACAGCAAAATTGTCATCTACCACAGCCACCTGGCCCCCACCACCTCGGGCACTATTCAGGAGTGACATCTCTCGTTCAGGCGATGGAAGTACATTACCGCTGCTAACTGCCTGGCCACGAAAAGATGAAGCTGCATTGTTCCTTGTTGTGGAAGCTGCGGCATTGGTGCTTGCACAAGGAGTACTACACATTATGCACTTGGTTGCTTTTGGCCAGTTCTCATAAGTACACACAGTACACAACCATTTTATAGTCTGCTGTCTCGCTATTACAGCTTTCTCTATTATACGCCCCCTCAGATCATTCTCAGTATCTTTCAAATCATTTTTATCTGCAGATGGAGATCTTGTGATGTGCAAGGGACCACCAGAAGCTGTCGTTATAGTAGCAGTATCACTCTGCTGACCAATATGAAGTGGTTGTAGGTGTTCATGGAGATTTGTACCAGTAACAGCAGCTGGTTTTAGTGCACAGCATTCTGCACACTGTGACGCACGTGGCCAGTTCAAATATGTGCAAGCTCGGCATTCCCACTTCCCGTTACTTCCTGACCTTGACGCATCATGCTGAGAGGGTCCAGATGCCAAATTAAGCCCACCAGAACCCGCAATTAATGATGGAGGAGGCGATTCGTCACATAATCTATAGATATCCTCACCAAGTAACGGTTTTGAACCTCGACACATTGTGCACTTTAGAGAAGATGGCCAGTTCTCATAGGTGCAATATTCACATGCCCATTTCGTAGTCGGGGGATCACAACTCATAATTAACCCTAACAATTAATTTTTTCTTAATTCGAAAGGTGATACAATATATAAATTGTAATCCTGCCCTTTCAGTTACAAGAATTTAAAATATCACATATATAAATAATTTAACAAATAATACATTTACAGTAATGGAAGATGAATTTAGGGCAGTACAATTGTCATAAACACACCATTGTTTTCTTTACCTATTCCTACTTGTAGCCTGTGTTCCAATTCTCGTACAGGTTACAAGTTAAATAAACAGAGATGGCAAATTTCCATCAGGCACAAGTGTCACTCTGTGACTTCTATAAACAATTTTTCGCAGACATATATCACAGCAGAATTTTTCTTGCACACTTCCCTCTTTTCTCCCCATGTACGCCACAACCACTCCTATTCTCCAAACCTGCTGAAACACATAAAGCAGTTAATTTATCGGACCTCATTCAGCTGAAGGCTTAGGATTAAAAAAAATCTCTTTGTTGGAAGTTGTGTTTTATGAATTGGACTATACTGGCCAGACGCTATAATAACAATCAGTAATAACCACTCCAAGTACAAAATCTTTAACCAACACAAATTAATGTTTCCGAATGCTAATTTAAGGCTCCACTCACCTGCTTCACCTTCAATTTGGGAACAGTCAAAATTAACCTGGGTTCACCAATTCATAGCTTCAAAGCACAAAGCATACCCTTCGCGTACACAACAAATTACGCATTACATCACCAATAAGAAATGTAACGCATCTGGGTTATAGGCAATTCATTCTGACTTATGTTCCATAAATGGTATTTTCTCAGCTCACCCGCAAATCACGGAGGAAAAACATTACGTCACACAACCACAACGACCATCTTGGGATTCGCGAATAATCGATATAGTGGAATGTCGAATGCCTTAATCGACACTCGAATCTTAAGCGTCGAGTCGGTCGAGACGCCCGAACACCTCGAGATTGCGTAAGAATTTCTCTGGGATGTGCAAACTACATAATTCTCGATTTTTTCGTGCCACATTCAGCAAAATTCTCGTAACACAGCGGTATGGTAAATCAGTACAACAATAAATTAGAGACTGAACGACCAGGGTTTGATTCCTGGTAGGGGCAAGAGATGTTTCTCTACTCTAACGACCAGACTAACCCTGGGGCCCAACCAGCCTTTTTTACTAGGTACCAGGGATAAACCGGTCGGATCGTGAAGCTGACCACTCACCTCCATCTAGTACAGAGGTCAAGAATATTGGAGCTATAACTTCACTCCCCCATACGCCTTCATGTCGTGGTGCTTAAATAAAGTAAGCACAGGGAAACTTCACTCTTTTATCTTATAGTATCGAAAGTAATTAAGATGGAGAATATGTACAAAACTGTTCTTGAACATAAATGACCTCCACAGATTCTCGATTTATAACAAATGGCAGGCAAGAAAGGCGTTATGCAAGGCATGAAGTTTCATCAGTTCAATAAGAATATTTATTAAAGTCGCCTTTCTTAGTTGACATGACTTTCTCTCCTTCGGTTGTAACTACACACCACCATAGTAATTTCCGACAGTTGGTATTATAATAGGCTCTATTGTTATAAGTAAAAAAGTTGAGTTGTCTGTGTGGTTCATTAAGCAGCCCGCCGTTTGTCGATGGAAGCACAGCTCCACGCATTACTAACCTTGGCACTGAATGCAGGTCAGTACATTACTTCAGGCATCGATGCTATACAGTCTCTGTTACTGACAGCATCATTAAACAAATCATCAACTCCCCTACTGTTTTCACCCGGGGGAAAGAGCTAGCTGGATTCATCGGACGGGACATTTCGGCACGGAACTCAATGAAAACCTATTTCCTCTGTTAGGTAAGGTAAAGTTGTCCGTGTGCTTAATTAATTAAGCACTACGCCATGTAGATGTATGGGGGAGTGTATGCATAGTTCCACATTTTCTTGACTTCGGCAGTAGCTGGAGGTGAATGGTAAGCTTCACGATGGGGAAAGAGCGGCTGGTACCCATTGGATAGGAGACTGGATGGACCACACAGCCGGTCTGGACGAGGTGGAGAAAATTCTTGACGCTATAGGGACTCGAACTCTGACCCCTCGGTCGTCCAGCCTATAGCCAATCGCTATACCGACTACGCTATTGCGGCTCCTACCTAGTAAGTTACGTTTTTCAATGTCAACCTCACACTCAAAAGGACTAGGATCAGGTAGAAATGATTCAGCTAACTGTATTTCCCCTCTGTGTAACCAACCTCATGCACATTCAAGAGCTGTGAGAAGTAATTTTCCATCTATTCAAAACATTGTGGAAACCTGCAAGCAATCACCCATCTCATTTTTTACTAAGTTAGTGTAGGCTGCTAACCATTCTAAAATGCCGTTACACCTCTACGTAATTCTTAGATGTTCTTGTTCTTACGTTGCTGTGTCTATCGTTGCGTGCACAACCAAAGATAGGGATCGCGTAGAAAAAACTATTTTTCTGTTGATATTTAGGGGCCGTTGCATAGTAACGGCCGTTGTACAAATTGTTTGTTTCCTTGAGGTTGCCTAGAAACGCATTTACATGCCACAATATTTTTAAAATTAACTAAACTCAGCTTAGGCTATCTCAGATAGCTATTATCTGCTTAGTTTCTCCTTTGCTGTTCGCGTGTGTACAAACACTGTCTCAGCTACCTGGGAACTGAAGCAGAATGGTTACAAACAATGAATTGGGAATAATTACTTAATTTAATGAATGACTGTGATGCTATTATTTGCGTAGAGGAACACCAGATGATCACGAAAGAACAACCAGTAGAGTCAACCTCTAAAACAGGATTAGCATCTGGTATTTCCAGAATGCGAAGCAGGAATGCGGATACATCAGCAATAAGACAACACTGTCGGCTTTGCTTGCACAGACATCCCTTCGCATTCAATTGTTCCCGTTTGGAGACTTGTACTATTCCTTGCATTACCTATCAGGGGGTAATGCGGGGTGTTGCAATGATCAGGCAAGCACTTCCGGGTGGAAAGACATGGCCATGAATCGCGACATGAAGCTGTTCTCCTCTTTACCAAGTGAGAGCTTTACACTTTTAAACCCAGGATTGAAAGACAAACAGATCGTGAACAGCAAATATTTAAAGAGACAACAAATATGTCACTAATATTTCCTTTTTCCCCGCCTAGAACCTGCAGTAAACAATTTCGAGCAAATAAATAATCATAAACAGTTACATATATTAGGATAGCTCAATCACTAACTTGACTGGCTACGGGATGGGCCATGGTGGTTCGAGTCTCACCATCAACATGAATTTTCCTCGCCTAACAGACCAGCTCAGGGACTGTTTTCATTTCTCATTCATATTGTTTAGATGATAGGAATGTGTGGATCCTTACCTCCAAGTGCCCTGTACACTACAACATGGTGTTATACTACAGCTATAATACTGAAATTCATTCGGTTGCTCAATCATCTTTATCACCCTGTGACGTGTGAGAGCTCGATTTATCATGACCAAGAGAACAACAATGGCTTGTAATCCGGCAGTTTACAGACGTATCGAAAAACAACTGCTTCCTTCCACAAGGTAGAAGGGTAGCACTTTCCAAAGCAGGCATTCCCCTTACAAAACTCAGATCTGGGTCAAATAACAGTACAACGAGACAAAGATATAAGACTCCCCAAACTTGCAAATATTTATTTCATAAGTTGGCAATGGTACTTTCACTGAAGTCTGTTCCATAAAACTTGACAGCACGAATGAAGAGTGCAATAATATATTATGTACCATTCTCTGTACATCACCACATTAACACAAAGAAAGAAAATGGTCCGAAATCGAATTATTTTAAAAATATATAAATCTGCCTCGCATCGTCTCTTCTTAAAAAATAAATTAATTACTAAAAAACATGTGTTGTATCTCTTGGTAGGAGCGGTACGAACGCGACCAGTTTGTTTCGTTGGTTGCCACTACAACTAAGTTTCTACTTATATGGAACAAGGACAGCCTATTAAATCTCCGATATGATTAGCGTTATGTGGTTACAATGAAAAAGAAACGAACAGAAGGACGCTGATAAAGATGAAGACGGAATGGTGATTACAATTTCAAATGAGTGATAATCTGTTTCCACACGCTTTGTGGCTTCGCAGGAGTATGGAGGGGAGCATTGATTCACTAGAAGCTGGGTTATCGAACAGAGCGCAGCCATTCGCCAGCAGAATATGGACAGTAGCACACCAGTCCCACGTCTCAAAGTGAATATCGACAAACCAAGATGGGACCAGAGCACGTACTGGGGGCGAGTGAAGTATTTCTTCTCTATCACAAACCCACTAAACATATTAGCCACAGAAAAAGAGCTGGAGAAATCGAGGAGCATTGTCCAAACATACAGGTCTGTAAAAAAAAAAATAGTATTTTAAAAATTGGTAGTTGCTCAGCTGGTTAAAAATTCCTTCCTCTTACGGAATCATAAATGTCGTTTCTTGTTATAAAAAAACCTGCCACAGGCACTATCCTGAACCAGTCCAGTTCAAAAACCCATCCTCTTTCTAAAAGACTCGTTATAATATCATCTTCCCATCCATAAAACCTCTACCCTTGAGATCCCCAACCAAAATTTTGTTTTAGCCTTCTCATTTATCCATTCCATTATGTGTTTCAACCATCACATTTTCCTACATTTAATCACCCTAACAATATTAAGGTTCACTCAGCTGCTCACATCAGGATCTTACGTAATCCATCCACATTTTACCGCGTATTTTCTTGCAGATTTGATTTTAGAGCTATCCTCTCATCAACGTCCAAGTATCCAAAGTGGTTCTACCCTTCAGGGTTTCCGACCAAAATGTTCTACACATTTCTCATTTCCCTTAGCAGTACTACGCGTGCTGCAATTTCATCCTCCTTAATTCGATAGCCCTAATACTTTTTGGTGGACTGCACAAATTATGAAACTCCTCCCTCGATGTGCATTTGTTTCCGCAATTCTTTTATTATATGTAACGTTGAACAAACCACCGTCATCAAAAATTTTTTCTTCGTTTGTGTGAGAGAAAAAAGTAATATTTTTATTAAATTACATAGGCAGAAATTTAAGTTGATTTCAACTGCGAAATCGCTAAAACACGCAAAAAAATAGGTAAAATTACAGTTCATTTATAAAAAAATCAGTTTTTTTCCTTCTGAGATATGAGACAAGTATACAGTATTCTGAACAAGTTTGCAGCAAGAATTTCCAGAATTTAGTTACCTCTCAACTTCTTCATAAATATAATTTTGATCCGTTTCTGGCAATTCTGATAAAATGATATTATTTTCGGAAGTAAGTATGACGTATAATCAACGCTGCATTACGAGAAAGTGGTAACACATTTAAACATATCAGATTTTATCCCTCGCATCTCTAAAATAAAACAAAGGTGAGAGATCTTCATGCTCATTCACGTTAACCGAAATAAATAGATAAGAGTCCTTTATGTTAAAGTCACTGTAACAGGTAAGGCGTCACAGTCAGCACGAGTTACGCCTGAGCTTCAAGATTAAGGCTCGCCACAAAACAAGGCTATCGAGTTGTTCAGAACTGGGTACAAGTTTCATGCCATAAACAAGTTTACATTCTGACAGGAATTCGGAGCCGGACAAGCCCAATATACACGTGTATATAATTTTCAAGGACAAAGGAAATACAACGTCTATTTGAATCATGCTGAGTCTCTTTGGAAGATTTTTCAAGTGTTTGCAACCCTGCAGACCGCCTAACTAATTCGCCCCATCCATATATAAGTCACTAGGCGTGAAACAACTTGGGAACCGCTGAATGTATTTTTATAAATTTACCATTGGTAATTTTAATAAAATTTTTACGCACTCCAATTTTGGACTTGATTATAATTAAAACAGTTCCTGCATAGAGCCAATTACATTACATTTCTATGAGAATCTTGAGCGTAACTGATTGGATGAAATATTTTTTGACTGAAAGGTATACAGGAAAATAAAACATGCATTTAATGCCAATTGCGCCCTTTTCCTAATTGTTATGATTTTCGAGACAATTAAATAATATCATTAATCGTACATACAACAATCGACAATGTTCCTCCGAACATATGGGAAAATAGCAGAAAAATAAGAAAATTGTTTGCGAGCATACACGAAGGTTTAGAATGTCTCTCATTGTTGACAGTAAATAAACGAACCGTTCTCTCACATTAGTTTATAAGCCTGCTTCCATATAAATACATCAATCTAAAATATAACTGTGACATCGAAGTGTCTTATTCACTATCACATTAAATCACACTATCCAAAAATATATTCTTCAATTGTTTCAGGAAAAGATCACAACTGAAGAAATAAATAAAACATTTCATTGATTATATTTTCCATGGTTTCATATGTGCTGTGTTTGTTACGTAAAAGTGGAAAAATTCATTTAAAGTATTTACATTTATCTGTGGTTCTGCTTGAAGTACTCGGCGACACGCTGTCTGCATGGCAACGTGAAAGACATTCATGAACTCAAAATCTAGGACTAGTAAAACAAAGAAGGTTATAATTTAATTTTCTAACTTGTTCACAAAAGAGCAACCTTTCATTGTTTCGAAGCAGGCCTGTAGCAATTGTAGATTCCGATCTCTTCTTCTTTATTGACTATCCTCATTGGTTCGTGTTTTGTTTAGTTTAGTTAGTTTAATCTATGAACTTTAAAATACTAAAACTATATTTATCCTATATTTAGGAGTAAATTTGTCACGACTGGGCCCTAGTCTTATAAACAAGAATTTATCGGGCTGCAGTCTGACAAAGTTGAGAACCACTGGTCTAGACAGACAAACGTCTTGTAAGCGTTATCATTGCCATTACGCAACATGTTAACGAACTGCACAGCTTTTAACATCTTCCAGGAAGATGAGTTCTGTAGCTGGTCACTGAAAGGGGAGCAGATATCTGTTCAGTGTATCGTATTCATTCTATGGATACAGATACTCCTATGCATGATAGGGAAATGTGAAGTGTAGTGTACTACTCAAAGCAGTCTACCACTGATTGTTTGAGCGTCTTCTTAATGGGCGACAGCGTTCCCTATCGAACTGGACTCACCATTCTGTAATATGGAGGACTGGAGAGGAATACAAGAAAAGGCAAGGAAGCTTGCATACACCAAATGATGGGGCTCCCACGAAATTCTCAACGGGTGCTACACTAATACGGGTATAAATATGTGACTCTCCACTTTTGAACATATCCAGCAAGTCAAGAAAAATAAACCTGGAATAAATTCCCTAACAAATGCTGGATTTTAGGTTCTCACAGCGGTAAAAAGAATGAGTACTAACCTTCGGGATATAACGTCCTTCAGTCCATATAATTTCACCAAGGACTCACACAAACATATTTCTTCAGTTTTCAGGACCGACGAATAATCCGAGAAAGGATCCCGCACAAAGCAACCAGAATGTTCTCTTGCTACTTGTTTCTTACTATTTGCAAGGCTTCCTCTTCCTCCCTGAAGATGGAGGCAGTATGTTCCTCCGAAAAGGTTTTTAGACAAGTGGTTCTGAACTGAATGGTACAGTGCACTTGGTAAATATCAGATAATTGATTTAATGGGCTTGACGTTGTTAGGTCTGGAGGTGACGTCGGCACCCTGACGGAGGAAGAGCTATGGAAGGCGAAAGAACTGTATGACTCGGCATATCACCCTGACACAGGCGAGAAGATGACGCTTATTGGGCGCATGTCCAGCCAGGTGCCCATGAACATGACCATCACAGGCTTCATGATGACCTTCTACAAGTGAGTAGCTATACTGTCCATCCGAAGTAAGTCTGAAGGCATGCAGGCAAACTCTGTGCTCGGCGGGATCGCCGTTATGGCGATTCTGGATCACCTCTTGCGTTGAAAACAAACCCAAGTAACTTCCTAATCTAGGGCATTAGCTGATGGTGATGCACTCTGAATGCAGTTTGAGACACAGCATGACACAGTGTGTCTTGATGAAAACCCAGGAAAGAAGAGGCAGATCAAAGAATAAATAAACAAATTAATAAATCATGTGCATAATGTATGAAATTACTGAATTCATTGTAAAAATAAAGTTGTCCCCACGCTTAATTAAGCACCACGTAACGATGATGCATGAGGGATTGGAGGTATAAATCCACTCAATCTTTTTATGAGTTATATCGTGAGGCTACGTGGCATATAGGATCACAGGGAAGGATGGGAATAGGAAAGAAGCAGTCTGTGCCTAAATCGAAGCACATCCCGACATTTGCCTACAGGACACGAGGGAAGTGACGCGAGACCGCAGAGAGGACACCTGGCGCTCCGACACAGAAACTGACAGAGCCCCTCCGGAATATTACTGTAGAGCATTACCGCTACATCACTGAACCGAACACTGACTCCTTAAGTTGAAAGTATTCAGACACGTTCTTCTATCCCGAGTAATGTAGGGCGATCAGTAAATATAGTCTTAAAGAGCTCAAACGTAAGTTACTAAGCAACTCCCGGAGGAATACTTCTGGAAGCCTTTTCGTTTGAGCGACATGCCAACATGATGGCTGTGCGTTTTTTATTCACATTACTGGAACCGTCATTTGGAAACAGAAGTGTTCGGTTTGAACAAGAGCAGTAGCTCCAGAAGTTTCGTTACGGCGTTCATGTCAGCAGTTGTGTCGGGGGCCATGGAGGTCAGGAGCAATCGAACTCTTATCTCCCGTAGTGACGCGCTGCTGCGTCAGAGACAGGCTTAGGATAACCGCGTCTGTCTGTAACAATTGTATGATCACTGACGAAAACGGGAAAGATATGTTCGGAGATAATCATTATTGGATAACCGCTGAAAGCATGAAATGCAGACAATACAACAAGATTCCATAATGTTACTAATGCATGACGCAAAATTACTATCAGAGTCCTTTCTGATCTATTAAGTGTCCTTGAAAGTGACGATAATAAAATGTAAATTATTGAGGGCCTCACATTTCGAAATAGATTCAAAGTGTTACACGTATAGCTAAGTCAATGGGTTTAAGGAAACACACCTCTATAAAAGATTAACACCGTTGAAAATCGGATATGGATGGAAATTGCTTGTGGAAGTCATCTGGGTAGAATGTTGAGAATATTTGTGAAATAATTCATGGGTTACATTCAAAATTGCATTTACAGCAATATGTAAGCCAAGCCGCGCCATAGCTCAAGCAGTTAGTCGCTGGGTTCCCACAGCGGAGTCCTGGGTTCGAGCAGGGGTCTCTTCATGTGGGATATGTGGTGGACAAAGTGGCGTTGGGGCAGGTTTTCTCCGAGTACTTCGGTTTCTCCTGCCAATCTTCATTCCACCAATTGCTTCACAATCACCCTCATCTCTCATCTGGGGCTGGTACACTAGGCCAGAAGTGGCAGCAGTACAAAGTGGACTCAGTCCCACCCCTGCAATATGTAAGCCAGGCTTTATTACTGCAGCTGAACTAGGCTTAAGAATGTAGGGGGCTAAACGGCAATTTTCAGTGAAAATCTGGCATATCGAATTTTAAGATAATCCGTCCAACGCTTTAGGTACTGATACTTGGTCACAGACAGACTGACCGGCGGACGGAGTTCTTCATTTGCTTTGTAAAGAACATTTAGTCTAGAAAACAAATTTCCTTTGAAACATGTATGATGGACTAACACGTCTATGATAACGGCTGTAGTTGTGATGCTACAGTACACAGTCACGTGTTGCAATTATTCTTCTTTTTCAAGGACAACGCCAAGTGTTGTTTTCTGGCAGTGGGTAAACCAGTCTTTCAATGCTATTGTCAACTTCACGAATAGAAGTGGAGACTCTCCCGTGACGAATGTGTAAGTTATCTGTTGTATTTACATTAACTACAGAACCAAGAAGTAATGAATCATACACGTCATGCATGTGAAGGGACAATCAATTTATCCGAGGGAGAGTCAGTAAATAGGTCACAAATGGAAGTAAAACGGTTCTTATATAAGTAAGAAGTTTCATGTGTCTATTATAAGATAGCATTACAGTCCAACTTTATTACAATCTTGGTACTAGAAGCGCATTCGAGTGTTCAGAGTCTCGTTTCAGTAGTCAAAATGGCGACCGAGCTAGAGGATTAAACTGCCGAAAAGCAGCGTCATGTTGTGTGTTTTCTGTGGGCAGGAGAACTCAACGCGAAAGATATTCACAAAGAAATGTTTCCTGTTTACGGTGGGAAGTGTTTGTCGGGTAAAGAAATTCACAACTGAGTCGCTAAGTTCTCTCACAAATGTTCGAAAGTCGCAGATGATGCCCGACAAGGTCGCCCTGCTGAGATTTCGAAAGACGCGACTGTGCAGCGGGCGGAAGAGTTGATTCTAGTAGCAATTCCTCTACTATTTTATTTTTCCCTCTTCTTGGTGCCGATCCATCTATGTTGTCTCTTCACTTACGAATTTGGGTAACGCTGCAGATGTTTCGGAGGAATTTGTTACTTCCATCGTCATGATCGACGTAGGTTAGGTGCTTGGGGTGTATTATCGGTTTTGGTCCAACAGGCCTACGGGCAGAAAGTAGGGGACAGGCGCTCCTTTCGCACCAGTATGGACAGGCAGTATTTTCCGAATGGTATTTTCAGTGATTCCAAGAGCTTCCATTTGTGACCGCTTAGGAACACAAGCTGCTGATGTTTATGTGGTGATTTTTGTGGCCACGAAATAGGACGTTTAGTAATTTCTCCATGTTTTGGAATTGTAAACCAAAAGTAGGCATATCCGATTAAAACATAAGAGGAAACCCCTTATGGCCCCAACCGGTCATCAGAGCCCAACGTTTCTAGCGTGGGTCTGTTTGACCAGTATCCTGCATACTGTACTCGAGCACAGTCCACCTTCCTTCATTCCTGAAAGCGGAAGCAGCACGCACCTCCGAAATTTGGGCTGTGACACAGCACAAATTTACACGTTGCGAAGACACAATGGACTTCGATAATGGACTACACTGAAAGCCTACAACCAGTAATTGTATTTTATCCTCAATACATTTTCTCCTGCTTTCTTTATGCCTTCCCTTCCATTTCCCCACAAGTTAGGAAACTTGGTATGAAAGACTATTATTGAGCTTACTACACCTTCAAAAGTTTACTTTAATCCTTAACTGAGAAACGCCTTTGCTCGAGATGCACGTGCAAATATTAGTAACTACACTGAACTAAGCCATGTGACAACAGACAACACTTCTGTTGACAGGCAACTTGGAACTTCGTATGTCCTGGCCACTGGAGGCGCCCTGGCAACCGCTCTGGGCTTGAACAGTCTCGTCAAGGTCAGTGTGCTGGTAATTAGCGAAGAAGCAGTTAATTAAACTATTTGCCATGAAACTTCTCACCTTCACGGTCGTTGCCGGGGAGCGTCTTACTGTGAGATGATCAGTAATCCTTGGAAAATCGCTTTAACTTAGAACCTGATTACAAAGTTTCTGAAGGCGAATGGTGTATATACACAGCATACGTCAACACTAAAACCACGGTATTTTGCCCGCGCCTTGCCTTTTAGCATTCAACAAATGAAGGACATTAATTTTCCTAATCAGAACTACTGATTGGTTTATTATAATGAAGAGAACATGTGTATTACACGAACTATGAATTTTTCTTCCCCCTGTTTCACACCAGAATTAATCTGTAATTATAGATTTTACTGAGTCAGTAGGACTCCTTGGACGGGGATCAGCCCTGTTACGAGGCAGGTACCTACACAAAGAAAAGCAAACACGGAAGAGTCGCGGAGAGACATACCTTGAGTAGGATTCGAACACACGATCCCAGTATTTGAGTAGACGTAGTCATTTTATGTCTTAGGGTGGCCGCACACATACTGCGTCAAGACAAGCATCAAGACATGAGACAAAGTACGCAGTCTTTCTTCATTCGTGATTCGTGAGCACGAAGCTGATGTAACCATCATGACTCAGACCGGTGTGCGGCGGTTTTCATATTCTCATTCGTTTCAACTGTCCTACTTTCTTTGTGTCATGTCGCAGACATCGTGTCTTGACGCATGCTGGTGTGCGGCCTACCAGAGGCCGAGCGGCCAATGTGATCGGCGATGGAGGAACTGAATATTTAAAAATTATTCAGAAGAAATTTGTGCTTTAAAAGAATAAATAGTTCTATGTTCTGGGATATAATGCAGTGTCGTCCGTTGAAACTAAATTGACGTTTCGGAGGAACATGTCGCCTCCACTTTCAGGGCCGAAGAATAAAATTGAAGAACAGTACAGTTAAAATAACAGAATGTGGGAATGTGGACTGTATTCAAAAGACCCAGGAGAGGGTCCAGTGGCGGGATATTCTTCCTGTTTCGTAAGAGAGTGGGGGAACGCGGCAGTGTAGTGGTTGAGGCACTATGCTACAAGCCGGAAGGTCGCGGGTTCAAATCCCGATGATGTCATTGGGTTTTTAAGTTGATCTAATCCTTCCAGCTGCAATAGGCCCTGGGGTCGACTCAGCCTCTAACAGAAATGAGTACCAGAAATTAACTAAATAATTTTCCTGGGGAGTAAAGCGTGGCCGGCGCGTAAGGCTGACAACCTTACCGCCATTTTTGAGCCGATTTTCTAGATAATGTGGGAACCTCAACATCTCACAACCCTATGGGACTTCACGGCCTCTTATAGGGATAGTTTTATTTTTTTTTTTTTTAATTTTACTTCGTAAGAGAGTAAGAATGGAGAGACGAGAAATTCCCAGGGTCTCCATAGATGAACTTGCCCAGTCAAGTTAGTTACTGAGTCTCTGCTTTCCGGTTTCCAGATGGTCAATTGTGAAGTTGCTGTTGACTGACAAATGAACTGATTACCATAAGCACATAAACTCTCTGACCGCATGTTATGTACATGTTCGCTCCCTTGGAAGTGTGTCATGTGGAAAGCATGTTATTCTGAAGCCTTAGTGAAGGACAGATTTAAACTCCTATCGTGCAAGACATAATTGTCTGACACGATTAATGTGATAGTCTCATCCCCAAGCGTCATAAACACTTCTTCTTCCGCCTGTTCCTCTCTACCTTTGTTCATATTGCCAAGATTTATGTGTGTGACTATAGACGGGGTTTGAATAGAAGATTGGATTTATTGCGCTTATATCACACGACTCGGAGTTTGAAGTTATTACAGCGTCATCACTAATATCCGTAGTCACAGTTCACCTTAGAAACCGCTACGAGAAGCCAGCCTGCCTTGTCTTCACCAGCGGTTCCCTGCCAACGGCTTCTAACAGTGGAGTTTATTCAGCTTCCCGTGCTAAGATCCTTCCTTCGCCGACTCCGGTTCAGAACTGCCTGTCAGCTATTCCCTCAACTGAACTGAATCGTCATCTCATCTCAGGCAACCTCACAGAGCCCAACTGCACTCAGCACTCAACACTCACCAACAAGACCGTCCCAATTATCTCCCTTATAACTACTTTGCATGACAGAACAGAAAACACAATTTTCAATAATAACACTATTGTTGCTTGCGTGCGCATTGCGTCGGAACGTGTCTACCCAGTCGTTGTCTCCTCTTGTTCCTATATTCCGGCCTTCAGGCGTCATGTCACAATACCATTCTCCTTCTTCTCTATATATATGCTTTTCCAAAATAATATAGATCTTTTCTTTCATTATTATGATCATCTCATCCACCACACAAAGCAAGATGGCTGCAGAGGTAACGCTTCGGTTTTCTACTCAGGTACTCGGTTGGAATCTGTCGGGATACCAGGTATGGTTTCCCTTAATTGCACCGTCTCAATTCCTGAATAGTACCCTAAGATAAGCTAGGACCGCTTCCTCCTACATGGTTTTCCTTTCATTATTCACCCAACAGCATACCACTTGACGCCAAACAATCTCAGTTACAGAGACCATCGTAAACTAACGCCTCCCCACCCTAGACAAATGAGAACTGGAGTGCAGTTCGGCATGTAACACAGTTCCACTAGGCTTTGTAGCCCTGCCTACATGAGACTGTTTTGTTGACAGAAAGCTCCGCCACTGATCGGCAGGTGGGTCCCGTTCGCAGCCGTAGCTGCTGCCAACTGCATCAACATTCCACTGATGAGGCTCAGGTGCGTGCCAGGAGCTTGGGAAATTTGCATCCCACACAAGGGATCGCCTTGAGGACTGCGAGGAACAGTCAGTGGAAGCAACACTCAGAAGAAACTCACAGCCGTAGAGTGTTTGTGAACAGAGACGTCACAACAAAAGCTGTGCGACTATGGACGTTGACGTCCATAACCGTCACAAATTTGCTACACATAGGAAATAATTAATTAATTAATACCATAATAAGGGGATACATGGTAGCGTAGTTGGTTGCGGAATTATGTTAAAAGCCGGAAAGTCACAGGTTCGAGTCCCGGTGATATTATTGATATTTTAATTGACCTAATAATTCCACCTGCACTATGGCCCTGGGGTCGACTCAGGCTCTAACAGAAATTAGTACCAGGAATCCTCCGGAGGTAAAGAGCGGCCAGGTGGCGCGTAAGTCTGACAGGCTCATCGCCATCTCCGAGATGGGTGTCTAGAAATATGGGAGCCTTGACGTCTCACAAACCTATGGGCCTCCAAAACTTGTTACAGGGATAGCTTTAACTTTTCCATATTACCTATACTTAAACCTATATTTCCCAGTTATTTTCCATTGTGGCCTATTCTCTTATTTTACTGCCTTTCCAGTTCCTGTGTCCGCACAGACATTCCTGATCTGTTGCTCAGAGTCTTGGCCCTCCAGAGTTTTGTTCCTTCATATTTCAATACGTGACTCCAGTCTTCCTCTTTGCTACCTAGGAGGCAACGCCCCTATTCATTGTTCCATTAGGAATAATGCTAAAGCCAGGAAAAAGTGGCTATTTCAATTAAAACTGTCTCACAATTCTAAGGAGAGTAACAAATCGACACGTTTTGTCTAAAGAGTATTGGGTTCTGGGATGTGACACCATGGGCTTCGGTAAGGTACATCGATATTTCGGAGGAAAGTGCTCCTAATTTAAGATCAGAGAATAATCCAAAGCAATCAAAAAGCAAGACGCTCAAAATGTCGTACCATAGAGATATTAATTACTGTGAGAATCTGAATTCCAAAATTTTTGTTTCTCACTTTCGTGGCATATCGTGTAAACTAGAATGTGCACACTAATATAAATAACTTAAAATTTCAAGGTACATACAAACGACGAGTAGCAAAATATTTTGAACAACTTTGATTTGATATTTATTGATTTGCTTATACCTACGTGTATATACGTATGTATTTTTCTCCTTATTTACTTGCAGGAATTTTGTGGTTTCTGTTGCAAGGAGCAGTTCCATCTTCTGGGATACAGCACCGTGTAGCCGGTTGAGACTCAACCTAAGTTTCGGAGGAATATGTTGCTTGAATATGCGACATGTTCCTCCGAAACGGCGGTAGAATTTCATCGGATTGCATAGCGTTATATTGCAGAAGGTGAAATTCTTCATAAACACCGCGTTAAGAAATTCCAACCCTACATCCGTGCAAAAGGTTCTCAAAGTAAGTCCATATTCCGCCATAATGACAGAGACTGACTTGAGGGCATGTTGCAGGGAGATTCAGGAAGGAGTCCCAGTCAGCGACATTAACGGGAACAGGTTGGGTGACTCCAGGATAGCAGCGCAGAGGGGCATCGCTCTTGTCACCTTCAGCAGAATTGGCATGGCCGCTCCAGGGATGGGTGAGTACAATGAACCTCGAACAGGCACTTCAAAGTGGAACAAAACATAACATTACCGTAGTATAAACTACATGTTATGTGTGTTATAACGTGTAAGAGAGCCGTTAGTGCCCTCCTGCCCACCTTTACATGTCATGGAGGAAAATTTCAATAAATATGTCTTAAAGGGATTTCTGTAGTATGTTCTTACACATGAAAATATTTGCATCGAAGATTTGGTCTTTCAATCTAGATTCGATATGGAACACAGAATTCTGAGCCGGGTTGCCATAGCGACTGTCTACACGCTGAACGACCGAGGGGTCGGAGTTCCAGTCTCGGTTGGGTAAGAATTTTCAATTCTCCATGTCGTCAAGACCGGACCTGAGGCCTACACTGTCTGGACGATTTGGAGAAGAGAAAATTCTGACCATAGAGGGATTCGAACTCCGTTCCTTCTGTCGTCCAGCCCGTAGCGAATAAAAAGGTATAACTCTCACATATGTAACACGTGGTATTCTGTGCAAGTCTTTAGCTCTATCCTTTAATAATATTACACGGAGGACTTCAAGCACAGAATGTACTTCTAGTACAGAAACCAGGAATTATTGTCTAGGAGGGTTACTGATTAGGTCTGCATGTCAAGTCTGCGGCCTTTTGCAGTTGTGACTCTGAGATCCTGAAATAAGTTCCGTAGAATATCACTAAATTAAGGAGCTTCTGAAATATTTCGAAGCAGAGAACCCTAATTTGAATTGAGAAACCTGATAAATTGCTCTGAGCTGTTGATATTCTCTTAGAGACCGGACGAGCTCATAACTTGCCTCCATTCCATCAGCTCTTGCCGTCACGTCACGTGATTGCGATAGCTCCATGCATCTCGAAGCAACTGCAAAAGCGTGTAAACCAGCCCATTTCTTTCTCTCCCTGAACTATTTGGCAAATGTACAGGCACTGCATGTGCGCGTGGACTGCCTGGACAGTTTGGCCACCTTGAACCTTGGTCTATGGCAACGTTACGTGACAATGAAAGTAGTGTATGCAGGCTCCACATTCGTACTGTGATGCAATTTTATATTCTCGCAGTCTTGACGCCAATCGTGATGAACGCGTTGGAAAAGCGACGATTCTTGGCACGCTACCCATGGAGCGTGGCCCCTATACAGCTCGCACTGCTGGGCGTGTGCCTTACCTTCGCCACGCCCATGTGCTGTGCCCTCTTCTCGCAGCGGGCCTCCATCCCGGTGTCCAGTCTTGAGCCGGAACTGCAGGTGAGTCAGGGCGAATCCAAATCGTGGCAACAGCAAACGGACGGTAAGGTTATAGTCAGTAAATCGAGTGGGCCACGCCATAGCTCAAGCGGTTAGTCGCTGGCTTCCCTCCGCGGTGGCCCGGTTTCGAGCCCGGGTCTGGTCAAGTGGGATTTGTGGTGGAAAAAGTGGCGCTGGGGCAGGTTTACTACGAGTACTTCGGTCCCCCTGCCAGTCTTCATTCTACCAATTGCTCCATCATCATAACCACCCGGAGCAGATATAATAGGCCAATCAGTGGCCGACGTGCAGAGTGGAGTCAGCTGAACTCCATCCCCCATTACTGGAATTTTTATGTAAATCAAGTACACGTGACACTCGAGTCGTGTCTAAGTCGTACACGGGCTATGAAACCCAAAACGAATTTGAAGCTTTACTCAAGTCTTTAACGTGTCTACTCATCTGACATACACTAAATACAACTTTCATATTCTAATTAAATTTGTAATTCAATAGAAATAATTAATTTAAATTATTAAATTATAGGTCTTCTACATTGAGGGACTAGGTTCTATGACATCTCCTATTCAGAATGAATACTTGATTATGAATCTTACCGACAGTCACTAGGACCCCTTGGACGGGGGATAATTCCTGTCGTAGGGCCGCTACGTATGCAGGAGAACACAGGGGAACAAATGCAGAAAGAAGTCCATTCCATGAATGGATTCAAAATAAAGATCCTAGTGTTTGAGGGGCCGATTATATTTCATGCCTTCGACCGCGTGGCCCAAAATACTGTTCATTGGAGTAAGTTATCAGGACCATGTAATGTATACGATAACATCCTTCTGTTTATCTGAGATATTTAGAAACTGTGATAAACTGTTGTGTCTGGAATTGCTAACTTAAAATGTTGCAGATATTATTAAAGTAAATCAGATTGAAGTGTGTTTTTTCTTCATATTTTTGTTGTAACTAGATAGTATGTACAAGCTATAAGTCAGAAGTAGCGAAATAATTTAAAATTTGAAACAGAACATGTTGGTTTGATTTAACATCCCTTATAAGCAAAACCTCCGGTTTATGAAACCGAGATTAACGGCCGTGGGGATCCGTTGCGCTGACCACCCGACACCCTCTATCCGCAAAATTTGCCATTAACTATGCCGAAAAACGGCGGTCGCTCGGTCGGTCTAGTTCACTTGCGAATTACAGGTTACGGAGTTTATAAGCAAAATACCAAAATTTATCCCCACCCCGAACTTCTTAATGGCAACACCATGATACTTAACACAAATCCACAACTTCCTACGTAGTTCTGCGGTGAGAAACACTCCAACCTTATGGAATTCCAAACAATTCTTTCATTTTCTGGCTTTTAACTGAGAAGTTCCTGGTTCATGGCCGGGTGACTCAGTGTCAGACGGTGATCGATGTGCTACTGAGGCATGATTGTCCTGCGGGTTTCATGTTTCGTCCTCTCGTAACCACATGCGCGGCATCATGCTTGTCTGAGAGAAAGGAAGTTATGTTAGAAGTCTTCCAGCAAGAGATTCTCGATAGAAAAGCGAAAACTTTTGAATGATGTATGCATCCAATTGAACCTGGCCATTACTTTCTCTTCCAGGAGGAAATAAAGAAGATTGTTAACCCACCTACAGTGGTATATTACAACAAGGGTCTCTAAGTGCTTCGTCGTCCAGGAATCCGACCTCAGGAAGTGAAACTGACAATAAACGTTGTATACGAACCGCTCCCAAAACACAGTGGCAAAGGATTCGCAGCTAGAGGACGTGACGCATGGACAGAGGAACGGTCATTATTTCCGTCCGGACGGACGCACACCAACTGAGAAAATGAAAACTGGGAAATTTAATTCAGGAGAGGTGCAGAAAGAATTGAAGGGTCCAGTGCAAGAAGAACGAAGTTCTCCTGTAAATAAGTTCTGAGAAACAACGAAAGTCCATGCCTGAGAACTCAATTCGAAACCAAGGCTCCATTTTCAATGTTGACCGTGGAATTAATCACTGGATACACCGTTCTAGTAATAGAACGATTATAAGACGATTTTTTTAAATACTCCATCTTATGAAAATGGGATCGCCGTTATCTCGGGTCCTTAAGAATAAACAAAAATATGATTATGACGAATTATGATTGGTTTTTCTAATAGTGTTTGTCAAAATACCCAGAATCATATTACAAATATTACGTTTTGAATTCACTGTTTCTGTCAGAACAGACTTTAACCGTCACAAAACTCAGGCGGTTAGTCGCCGGCTTCCCACTGCGTCGGCTTGGGTTCGATCCCGGATCTGGTCATGTGGGATTTATGGTCAGTTAAGTGGCAATGGGGCAGGTTTTCCTGATAATTTCCGTTCCCCTGCCGTGTACACTTTCCACCAATGCTCCATATCAAATTAACCTTATCATCCGGGACCGCCACAATAGGCCAATTAGTGGCCGGCGACCAAGTGAACTCAGTGTCACCTCACAGCATGAAATTAAAATAATGGTGCAGTTCCTATTTATTTTTGTTTGCAGCACGTAGAGCTAAATGGCATATCCATGTTGTTTGAAATTTCTTTCTGATTTTCCGTAGGAAAATTAAGGAGCCGAGCGTACTGAGACTATAAGCATAAAATTATGCAAAACTAAATTTCGGTCAGAACTACAGCCTCCTAATATTTGTTCTGGAATCTTCAATTATACGCACTTCACCTGCCACATATATTTAATAGAGCTTATGTAATGATACAGTATTTAAAAATATTATTGTGAACATTTTAAACATTTCATAAAAGACCATTCGCATGTTTGTCGTTAAAAAGGCTGTTCTTAACTTATTGGTATCGGAACATACTGCATACCTTAAAATTCTATGGCAATAAAATATCTATCCGAACACTGTGCGGGGTTGGTGACAATGTGGTGCCATATAAGGGAATATTCACGTAAATTTGGATACACGTAGACAGTAATAACGTACATCTCAATGTTCAGTGTCATTTATTTATTATTTTCTGGTACTGTAGCAAATATTTCCCTCATTTATTTATGGGACTAGTCTTTACAATACCAGATCACGGCTCATCACGCTCACGCAGTGGCAAACTTCAGATTCAAACTTCATTATAAAGAACTTCTGTTTCAATTGTCAAGGTTATGACTGCTTAATGTTGAAATGTGTACATTTTGTTAAGTGATTTACTGTTACAAATATTGGTTAATACACTGAATTTAAAATGAATAACACATTTTTCTGTTAATCAATGCTTCTCAAATCTTAATCGTCATTTTTCATGAACTTGTTTATTAAAATAAAGAAACAAACCAAAGATAGGCAAATCATTAGGATTCCATTTTGAATCAAGATAATAAAGGTCATGTCTGCGCGTCATAATTCCGTAAAATTATATATTAATATTCACATTCATCTATCAGGAATATCACGTGGTCTCCTTTAACGAAATTTCACGACCAAGATCTTAAATACACTTCAATTCTTTGTCGGTACCCTTCAAGAGACAGTCAATAGCTAGGTTATACAGCGCCAAATCAAATGGTACGATCACTGACGAATTGTAAAAGACATGGACGATGGTGGACGTGATCTAATCGAGGAAAAACTCCGGCAATTCTCTGGTGGGACCGAGGAACACCACAAGAAATCTCAGGATAATCGGTGCCGACTGAGAATCAAGCATGTTGTCACATTTGCAAAGTCAGCGCCTGCAGAGATTTGTTTAGACTACATGCAGCACTAGTGTGTCGGAGAAATTGCCGCCAAAGCACGGCGTTTATCTCTTCATGACAAAGAAAGCTTTCAATCTACGGCGCCATAGCTCAGCGGTTAGTCGCTGGCTTCCCACTGCGGCGGCCCGGGTTCGATCCCGGGTCTGGTCAAGTGGGATTTGTGGTGGACAAAGTGGCGCTGGGGCAGGTTTTCTCCGAGTCCTTCGGTTTCCCCTGCCCATCTTCATTCCACAAATTGCTCCACAATCACCCTCACCTATCATCTGGGGCTGGTGCAATAGGCCAGAAGTGGGCGCGGTACAAGGGACTTAGTCCCACCCCACTAACATTAAAAAAACAGGTTCAATCGAATCAGCCAGTCTGTAGCCCAGCAAAATACAAAAGAAAGTTACTCACACCACAGCAGACGCTGGAAACGCTCTCTGTTGGGACGCTGAACCTAGGTCTCCAGTTCAAGACGCCTGAGGACTTTTAAAACATTCAGCACCCGTGGGCTGCACACACGAGAATTCCAACACACGCCCTCGAATATGAACCAAGCTTGGAACACAAATCCTAGGAGATTAAGAAAAAAAGTGGAAATCTTTATACCAGAACAGGCCCTTGCCCTAACCCAAAACACGAAGATCTTCCAGCGTTCCTTACTGCTTTTACAACCACCTCAAACTGTTGTATGCACTGAAGCATGGAAGTGAACAGGGCCAAGAAAACAGACATAGTCTATATCAAACCACCATACGATCTTCCTCTTATACAGAAGTGTCAGCTGCATATTACGTTGGATTAGTTTCAGTGTATACAGGCTACCGCATGTGTGTCACAAGATCCCTGTGCTCTTTCTACCATTTCTTCCATTAGATAAAACTTGTAATACCTTTTGTGTCTTTTTAATGAGGGCTGAAAAGGAATCCTTCATACAAATTCAAAACCAACAGTGGTACACACCAGTTCCTAGGCAATGACCGAAAAACAAACTAGACAATGGCCGTCGCTAAGCATCAGCTTCATAAATACGCTACAGTACCGGAGCTGTTGCCAGGCAGCAGCACTCGTGCAACAGTGGAAGTACAGCTGGAAGCGGTATTTTCCATGATGTGCATGCCGAGGCTATATCACTCAGGAGACCGAGTACAATTCAGTTACTGCAGTGGAGTGGAGTGATTGTTGTGAGTGAGCAAGTAAGAGGACTGTTGCAGTTCAGTCCTTGAGAGGTGTTACTGTGAGAAGCCAATAGCTGAGGGTGGGGACAGTTCAGGAACCCAGAGAAAGGTGAAAGTGCACCGCTGGAAGCTGTTACAAGACAACGCCTGCTGAAGACCCAAGAGGCTGAGAAAACTGCTGAGTGCAACAGGGAATTGAAGAGTGTGTGAATTAGTGACAGTGCTATACTTATTTGTAGTTACAATTTGTAAGTGTTCAATAAATCCAATTACCAATCCAAAACCCGTCTATATTCACTCATACACGTGATAATATGTTAGGCATGAAGTTCTGACAACAGTCAACTGGAATGTGAACTATGGAATCTGGCAGAAATTCACAGTTTGTAGGAACGCTGCTGCACTTCTACCAAAATGGCGTCACATTCCAGATGACATAACTCTCCAAAATAATCCCTACCTGACTGACGTTAATCAGAGAGAAAGTGAGCAAGTTGGTTCATATGGTAGCGACATTTGTACTTGGGTGGTGAAAAGTTCTAATCCCTGCCAGGACGAGTATCCTGATTGAGGGTCTTCATGATTTTCCTCAGTTCATTAATGATAATCTAATCATATGATGATACAGCACCATTTATGACAAAAATGCCACAGCTAAAATGCATGGGGATTGGCATCCACAAAGTACCAAAGAGCCATAAGAAGTGAATCAAAGAAATCATCAGACCTTCCTATTTGTGGTAATATCATCATTTTTAAACGAATATTTTCTAATGTCCTGGCAACATTTATAATATTTCCATTTCTCTATGTGGGACCTAGGACATCTCAGTTCATATAGGGATCATACCACAGACTGGATGGCTGACAATCAGGGTTTGAGTCCCAGCAGAGGCAAGAGGCTTCCATCTTCTCCGCAACACCTGAAGTGTCTCTGGGGCCCAACCACCCTTCTATCCAATGTTATTGAGTAGTTACTTCTGTAGTAGCAAAGAGCATGGGGTATGAAGCTAATCCACATTCATTTAGTGCCAAGGTTAAGAATGGATGGAGTTATGCCTCCAAACTTTCATATATCTTCATGACACAGTGCTTAACTAACACAGGGAAAACTTCACTTTTAGCTTTTGCATTCTCTATTTGTCTGCATGTCACCGTACCAATATATTTAGCTGAAACATTTTGTCACTACTGCTATGACCTGGAGTAAAATACTCTGAGCAGTCTCCACAAAAGACAATCTTAATGAATGATATTCTTTTTCCTGAGTATAACTCACCACACAGTTTCAGCCTCCTGCAATAATTGATGCCAATGTTTCATCTTAATAAACTATAATTGCCATGATGATATCATTATTGGCAGCAGCTTACATGGCCTCCAGGAGCACAACATTTATACCGGATTCACAGTCTGACTCAAAAATAGGCACATGTAACAGGACATATAATGTAATATATTTCTCACTATTTCAAGTAATTTCATATATTTTAATCTTTTGAACTACAGAGGTTCCTACAAGCATCACATGCAATAACATTAAAACAATTCTGCATTTTGTGTAAATATTCTATTTATTTGTTTAACATCATTCTCACAATAAATTGTATTTAGCTATTTAAACAGCATTAACAAATTAGTCTCTTTTAGGAAGACCCAGATGTGGATTCGAGGACAAGCTGCCCTGTAGTCCCCTCTGTTTACTTGACTCTCTCTCTGACACAGGAGATGAAGGCTGTGCATTTTCTTTGAAATGTCAGTGTACCACATTCCTCGATACTTGTTCTTCCTGGTTGGTTGCTTGTTTGGCTTACTTTTCGACCCTGAACATGGAGGCTGCGTATTTTCCCAAAACTTCTGTGAACTTCTGACAGTCAAACAAGTGTCACAGCCCACAAGACTGAGTTTGCTCACTGTTAGGTACAAAATGAATCTGTATGAATTACTTAAAGGAAACAAGTTTCAAAAGTTTCTGAAATAAATTATAACTTCATATCAGCAGCGATAAATTGTAGATTTCTTTTACTTGGCCATATTTAAGTTAATTTCAGACTTTTGCTTTCATGACGAGAACATACATTAAGGAAACTACAGAAATGTCATTCTTCTAAACACAAAACCCCACAAGTGTATTCCACAAATAGATTTTGAAGGCTCTCCTCACAAACGAAACATTTCCACTTGTGTCCACTCAATCGAATGACTGAGCTTAATATTTCTACATAACTGCAGGGTCCTGATTGTTCTGAAGAGAAGACTGGAAAGCATATGAACCTCCACATTCCCTGCTTCAGGATCCACTGTGCCATCTGTCAACATCACACTGTCTTGTTCAAAACTGTCCAGCTGCATGTGCATGCAGGCGAAACTGCCAGTCCCACTGGCTCAAGTGTCCATGACAGGGCCTCAATGAAACATAAACAAACAACATAAAATGTGACAAAATTATTCTATTATCACCACACAAAACAAGGGCTGTACTCCACTGGAATGCATATATTTCTCTGCGTTCTCTTTTACTTTTACAACCCTTACTGGCACTGCTGGTGATCCGTCACCTTACAAACTTACTCTTCCAAAGCTAATCACTCTTATCATATGAAAGAGTCCAGAATTATTTTTCTTCATATTTCACATATTGACCATACATAAAAAAAGTTTCCAGCAAAAATTTGGGAGCATAATGAGACATGTTGCATCATGTACCAAGTTCTGTATATAGCTGTGTGGAATCAGCTCCATTTAAATCAATGATTTGCCAGCAGTTTACCAGAAACCGTCCCTTTCGTTGAAAACCATACAGCAGTGATAATACCATTAAAAGGAAGGTAACTTTAATAATTTATGTTCCAATCAACTTCAATACAAAGTCAGTGTAAAATCAGTTGACAGTACTTAACCCTGTGGTTTCAGGAGACAAACACTTCAGTCTCTTGAACAATAACCCATTGCCATCAAATTCTTCACAGTACCTTTAACTAGCTATGACCTTTATAATTACCTGCAAACCAATATGGAAGCCATGAGCCATGCAATTGGTCTTGGCTGAAGTAGGAAAGTGGCCTAGGCTCCAGACAGGAATCGGATACAAAAGCCTAACTGCAGAGACGATACCAACTCTGAGGAGTGAGCACCGATATATCATCTTGTTCTGATGGTGGACCTTCAACAGTGCACACATGAGACATGGCTCAGGTCACAATCTACTGTGATATGAAGTGGAATCCTTCTTTCATAACTTTGTACACTGTAACTCCCTAGAGCAAAGGAATCCATTATCATGGTTGAGGAATACCTGGAAGGCCCCCAGAGTCCTGAAATGATTTACAACAATATATCTTGGAAAATTATGAGACTCCTGTCAAGGTAATTCTTTCGCAGAATACAAGAAAGTAACACAGCAGTCACACAAACATTGTCTTCAGCTTTTTCTTTGACAGAAATTATTGGAGCTAAGCATGTGAAATCTGGAATGGATACAGGTCATAAACATGTAAGTCGACAATTGCAAACATGTCGACGATGTAAAACTCTGAGGTTTAATTCAACAGATTCAACGTACAAAGTATCTTTAGTCAAGGGACACAATTTTCACAACAACTAAATAAAATGACAGTAAGAACAGATCTCATGAATTATACAGGCTAAAACTCCACGGTCCACATAGCTGATATAAACAGTATGATGCAAAGAGAACGTGCAACCCTTAAACAAATCCCTGCTCATCTGTCCTCACACATTTAGTTAGGTCATCAAGTGAGGCAGCCAGGTTTCCTTGTCTGTGAGTATGGAAGCTGATAGGGGAGACATGCAAACAGAGGGACATAGCCGATCATTCAAAACCTCTAACCGGAAACGAGAACATCTATATTAATGCAAGTACCTGACACTCCACTACGTACAGTTGTGCAGTATGAGTCATTACTGGGGTGCTGCGTCTGAATTTCATTCCCCACACCTTCAAAGTAACTCATGGAGCCAAACCAGGGTGATGGTTTCCAGGAACCTGAAAAAGAAAATACATTCAAAGACCAAAGAGCATAACAGTATCAGGATATATGACTGTTAATGGTGTTACAAATGGTTAATGACAGCAGGGCTAAGTCATGGGGGCAACTGGTCTGCTTATTAAAAGAAGGTTCTTCATACGCTGGAGGAGCCAAGAAGTAGGCTAGAAGTCATCAATTTTACAGCCTTGCTCAACTCTACATGGGATGAGAGTTACTGACATCAGTAACAGCAAGTGACAACAACAAACTGAAAGTAGCTGAAATAATGAGATAAGCTGCTCAGTAAATGAACTGAATGGAAGCAATTCAATACCAGAAACTTCTAAGAAAAATACAATGTCTCAAGAAATGGAAGATGTCTGTAACTTAGATAAATCAAGACAAATAGGGTCATTTTTGCCAAATTGTATTCCACTGTAGCTGTCATTTTCTAAAATGCAGTCTTTTCTAAAATATGGAAATGAATTTAAACATGATATGGCTTACAGCAACAGCAATTTCATTCATTAATCTTGGTGAATTTACTTGCAAACACAATTACAGTGGCCTTTCTACTGCATGCTGTGGTACTCACCTGATCCCTAGAAATGTTAGTAAGAATGGTCAGCTTGCTGACAAGGAAGTGTTTCTTCACACAGATGTCACTTGTGTAGAATGTTGTGTCCCTGACACTCACACTGATTGTAAAATCACCTGTAACTAGACTCAAATTATTTTGTTATCAGAAAACATGGGTACCAGCATGGAGGAGGTAGAATAACTTAAATTAGAAAAAGGAGGGATATATTAAATAATACCAAACTTACATGCACTGTTTAAATAAAATTATCCCTCTGTCCTCAATATACTAGGGTGAGAAGTAAAAAATAATCTTAATTGTAAGTCTTGGAGCTAACTGTCTGGCCATTCTCCCTTGGAAAAAATCTTGGCAACACTGACAACATGAGCATAAGAAACAACCATGGTTCTGAACTATGATTTTAGAGTTCTCATGTTTATGCTTTCATAGACATTTGCTCAGTCATATTAGCCACACTGCTTATATTGCCTGACTGTGAAGTGTGTGGTCAAGGAAACATTAATTCTAATAAAAACAATGTTACCTCTACTAACTAACTTCAGTCTGCCTAGCAGCACCAAAACAGTCAACTAAGATGTCATGGGATCATTAATCTTAAGCAAGTCACTCCTTCACTACTAGTTCTTGTTATTCAAATAGAATTCAAGCAAGGAACAGTCAAGAATGAACAGGCAGATATGTGCACCAGCAGCAACCAAACATTTCTTCCAGCTCTTGACAGTACTGTCAGATAATCAGTTATCAGATAATGATAATTAATAAGAATGGGTGCAAGGTCACAAGCACCTACATCAAGTACTTCCACCATTAGATTTGGTTATTCTCTCAGACAGATTCTGATGATGACCTTCTGTCAACTCACTTCACAGAACTGGGCATGCAGATGTGCTCACCAGTATCAAGCAAGCAACCCTTCATCTCCAAGTTCTGGTTATTGTCCAACAGGACTCAGATAGCAGCCACTAGAGTGCAGTGGACTGGTGGACATACAAGTATGTCAACACCGAGCAACATAATTCCACTGTCACACTGGGCTACACAACCAAACAGACCTTGGATAATGAGTTGTCAAAATATGTCAAGGGCGACTTTTAATGAAGAGAGAGAGTGTATTCACTTTCCTGCCAGCAAAGGACCTGATATACTATGAAACCTCAAGAGAAATATACTATGTACTTCAATTATGAATTCACTTTTCCTCATTAAACAACATCAATGCATTAATCTGCAATGCTTGCAAACAAGCTGTGAAAGTTCAGAGTTTAAAAGAGAAATGGGTCAATGTATTGAGAGTTATACTCTTGGACAATTCTTGAAGGACATCCTTGCATTTTGCTTAATGAACATATGAAAACTTGTTAAACAGCTTTAATACTGACTGATACATCAACAAGGCTAATCTGAATACCGTACTAACAACACTGCAATTTGTAATACTGTATTAGGTGAAGGTCAGCCAGTGACATAAATTGTTATGTCATTATCACAAACTTACCAGAATATATTTTAAACATACTTTCTTATACCAGAGGGAAATTCAAACATGCATACATAGGATTTTCTTCCACAAGGCTGAATACCGATTCATACAGCAAATTAATGGGAAATACTTTACTACAGTTATGCATGTAATTTTATACCAGGATTCAGAAACAGAAGTCCACCCGTGCTAGGGTGTAAATGCTAACAGAGGAGGGAAGCACGGTTGTCAGTGGCAGGGCTCACAAAGCATTGGACCCATGCCAAGATCTTTCAGGGGGAAAAATTACCAAATATTGATAACTAAAACTATTTTGAAACGTCTTTTTATCCTGGGTATTCTACCATGGTCACTCAATCTTAGTGGGTTTAAATATATCTTTTTAAGCAAATTGTCTCTCTGCTCTTCTATTCCCTTCGAAAACACCCTGGCAGTGCTCATGCACAAAGGGTACCATATCCATGCAATACGAGAGACTGTGAATGACCATTTGCCTTCAGCCAATGTCCACATTTAATATGGCTTTCATAGCATGATACTTTGCCACAAAGAATATTTGCTCTTCTACTATTTTGCAAATTGCAATTAAAATTTTAACAGCTTCACAGGTCATACTTCAAAATGTGTTGAATGTCTGATAATGTTTCCTTTAACTTAATTATGTTACAATACAATTCTACTTACTACTGGAAATGGCATTAAACTAGTACAACCCTTTAAGTTCTCCTACCCACTTCCATTAGTGCCACACCAGTAAATCACTCTGAAATAAAACTGTACTTTGTATACAAGTCCAAGATGATATAAGCCAGCAAGATCATAAGCAAATAAAGAGAAATTCTACTCTGAAATTTTGGATACCAGACTTGGAAAACCATATGAAATTTTAAAACATTTTTCTTTTGAATGCATCAAAATGTCACCTTGACTAACACAACACTATGCAACAATAAATTCATTTCTGCAGACTAATTGAATACAAAACCAATCTATGAAAAGTACTGTTAACTTACCACTGCCAACAGCAATTCTCTGCAAACCCTAAGAATGTACATAAAGATAAAAAAATCTCAACAACCATCTGGTAACTTTTTAAATGCACTTCACTAAACTCTCTTCCATTTTACAAGTGATCACACCAGGGATGTCCAAAACACATGCAGCATATTCAAGGATAAAAAACCTTACATATTACAGCATCTACTGACAACATTTGCATCCTAGTTACAGCAACTTACAACAAAATCACAATTGAGTATGGGTCCACCATGGAAAAGGGTGGGGGACTAAGTCTGTGCTGATAAAATGTGTGTCAATATGAGGATCTGAGAGGCTATCAAACTAACAAATACAGGAAAACCATATTAAAATCAGAGTCTGCATCTGTTTCCGAAAATATCTGAGTCCCAAGAATACAGAGTGAAAACTAATGTAAAATTAACTCTGAAATTAAAATTATTGTGGGGGGGGGGGAAGGAACATACTTGTATCCTTAAGCATAAAAAATAATGAAGAAGCCTATCTTCTCTGATGTAATGCTATGTAATCCACAGAGACTCTGCTTGCTACCAGCTCCATGCTGGTTCCTTATTTGGGTTACTCTTTGATCTGAAGATGGAGGCAGTATGTCCCTCCCAAACACTGGCTGATGCCAATGGACTACATGGCATTATATCCCAGAAGGTATAATTCTTCATAATCACTGCTCTGAGAACTTCAAATTACAAATGATGTTTGTAAACAGAGGTTAGAGAAGCAAGGTGTGAAGGATAGCCTGCAAAAAATGCCTTGCAGAATTAACGAGTACTGCAAACATGGACATGCATAAACAGAATCTGAAGAACTAGCACTGTTTTATCTATGCTATGAAATAAAAAAGCATCAGATTTTCAACAAACCTTCCTTCAAAACAATGTACTGAAATGGATGTTAATTCAACATGTATGTTGGTAAATGTTCAATCACAATTTCTGCTTAAAATTTAGCAATGACTTTTACTATCAAACATTCAATGACATAAACCTGTTGTGTTAAGGCAAAGATGACAAAGTCACTAAATGTGTCCTTTCAGGAGGGGGAGGAGAAGATACTTTAAGATATTCACCCATGCACTACAAAATTTAACCCAGTGTTTCACTGTGTCGCTGAATTGACAGTACTGCCCTTTGTGATATAATCTGGTTTTTATTTCAACCTCTTAATAGGCAGAATTTTGTGGTCATTCTGACCAGACCTTTTTACTTTACTCTCTTTACCATAACATCACATACTGAAGACATTAACTGCAGACTTTGTAAAGTGAGAAGCTGTTTTGTTCAGTTTTCAAAACAAATTTCATGCAGGTGTGTAGTAAAACATTCGTGAACCTTTGGACATCCCTGTTTAACGTTACAAAATAGACTAAAATACTTTACAGAAATGATTCAGGTAATGCTCCATTCTTAAACTTACAAAGATATCTGAAAAATACTGCATCTTCATATATTCTTTTAAAATCCCTTTCGCAAAACTGTACAATCTCAAAACAATCCCTGTTGTCTCTTCAACATGTTTTTTCCATCATCAAGCAAAAATTGATAATATTTACAATTAATGTACAATAAGATACGAATTCTGAGGTCTTAGCTACAGCACACTTCAGTAAATACAAGTGCAATATAAATGCTACATTACACAGAAGCAGGTTTCTATTCTACGGTTTTCATGTGAAAATTCTGTGAAATTCTTTTGCTATTTTACCTCATACTAAAAAAACTTCAATCAAATTTTCATACTTCACTTTCCAGAAATAAAATACTGATAAAGAGATCGACACTTTTTCTCAAACCTTTGTTTCAGAAACCTACAAACCAATCCAGCATTCATATTACTGATTCAGACTTTTCATAAGCCAAATTAACAACCCAGTTCCATTAAATTTATACTACAAGACACATAATTTGGAACTCCTACATTATTAAAAAATAAATGAACTTTTCTTACACTTGCTGCAACACATGCAATAACATTATGACATGTGACAAGCTTTTTATCATCTTTACAATGTGAACAGTAAACAAGGATAAATTTCTGGGTAAACTATATCTAAAACTTAATTTAACAGACAGATCCATTTCTCAAATGTGAAGTTTAATTTCTTTTTAGGAGTTTAGGGAATTTGGCTAATGAAAGGCCCATTTCATGTAAATTTGTTACTAATTCAAATATGATTGAGGCCATGAAAGTGAAGCATGTTTGGCAAGAAATACAAAATATAAAATATAACTGCTTAACCAATTCACTGAAATAGCAGCCAAATACATAAGGAGAAATGTGGAGTCTTGCAAGTCATGGATGTTAGTTTTGCATTTTCAGATTTTAAAACTGCAGAGTTACAGATCGCATGTCTCTGTCCATGTGAGGGACCAAGAAATTTTCAGTTGATGTGTGACAATTACCACTTCCATAAGACTTAAACCCTCCAAGGTCAAAACGCACTTCCTGGATATTCATGGAAAACGATGGGCTGTGTAACAATCAGGAAATCATATTTGCAAATTCTGTGTTAGTACATGCATACACTGCAAGCACTGACTGATACATAAAAGTCTATAATTTAAAAAAAAATGGCATTGCTATTAAATGTATTTGAAAACATTTAATAATTTAAATAAACTTTCCATAAAACTAAAACAAAAATTCAAAACACACAGCTCACATTACTGCTTTCGTAGACAAATATGTCACCAGTCATATACAGCTGCTGTTGGTCTGCAACTCAATTCTGGATTAGAATTTGCACCCAGATAATCTTTAGCTCTTCATTCAACACCAATATTACTAACATTCTGCCATGAAATGTAAAATATATGTCACAAGCCAAGGAATTTTTGGAGATGGGAGCGAGAGAAAGCACTGTGATGTTGAGGTGCCTTAACTTGGCCAGAAAGGTTTCTATTTCAAATATCAGTACTAAGACTGGTTAATTTCCTAAGAACTGACTGGAGAGAGAGAGAGAGAGATTTTTCCACCAGTATATCTCATTACTTTGAAAATTCATTAACCCTTTGACTATGAAGCCCCACCATTTAAATATCTGCTAGGTAACATGACTGCTCAGGGATAAATGTAGCCGCACAGAAAAAGTCACAAAAATTTCTCAAATGACAAGTATAAATCATACAAAGGACTGTTCTATCCTACGTATTATTATTATCATATTTGTCTCTCATTTCTCCAACAAAACAAAGAAGTCAAAAGCTTCAAAACACAAACACTATCTGATATGTCAAGAGCCTACTTTGAACCGTGCCAGCATTGTTCCCAACTCAGAAGTTCACAAATCAGCAGTACTAGTATTACAATAAAGATACCAGACAAATTTTCCTTGAGTGGCATGTTGTTCACACAATATGACAAAAAAGTGAGTAATTACTGTCCATAATTTTAAAAAGAGGATGGACAGGCACAGCAGAAATACATATTTAATAATGGGATTTCTAAGTATCATTCATTTCACCCTACTGCATGGGGCTCATCCACAACTGCCACACCCAACAGACTTGCATAATTCCAACACAAAACCCCTCATCACCAGCTGCATACACTTCCATAGTTACAAAAATCACATCACCACAAACTACAATTAAAAGGATGGGACAATGAGTATGATGAGCAGGATATTTTTGGTATGTAAGAGATATTTATAACTGAAAAGAGAAGAGGCAAGAAACACTGCTAAAAAACGTGCTGAATCCAATATGCCTTGAGATTAAGAATTGATGACCATGAGTGAAATGTTTAAAATAAAATTATAATTAAAATGAGTAATGTATCGTAATTACTATACTATGCTACATTAATGGAGTGACAGCTCTTATCTGGATTAATGATATTACTTCCTTTCAAAGTCAATATCATCATGAAATGATAAGGACCCTATCACAGCCAAAATTAGCGTTTAAAATAATAATTTGTGAATGGTGGCCCAATACAATAACATGCTAAAACTGTAAATCCATGCCAAATCAAGTAGGTTTCCAATTGTGGCCTTCTATGTCACAGTACTTCACATATGTTTAGCTTCCACCCACAAAGTTGCTATGTACTGAATAACTGGTGAATTTAATGAAGATGCAGACAATAATTGCAGATGTGAATACTGACAAATTGACCTGGCCAATAAAAAGTTCAGACTCCCGAGTCACTTGGTACATTTCAAATGCTGCTATAGGACATGACTGCCACTAGTGCATTATGATTAAAACCCTTTACCTATGTCAAAACCTGGTTTCTGGGAACATATACACAATAAGACTGTTACATACAGTTAAAGCCAAAATTCAGTAATTAAGATGATATCTGAAATGTAATCTGCATGAATATACAACATAAGCCCTATCCTCTCAAATGTATGTGCAATTATAAGGAACTAACCATTAGAAATAATTTTGGTCACAAAGCCTATCCAATATCTCCTGAGACAATATTCTCCAAATGGGTATAATGTAATCAAAATCAAGACAGCCATTGTTATGAAAATGGCAATTTTTGTGAAGTTCTATCTTCTGGGATAAAATGTTGTGCAGTCCACTGAAAGTCAACCATTTTTTGAAGGAACACGTCCCTTTTCTTGGCATCTGTGTCATGCTGGTTTCTTGCTTAGCTTCTTTTCAACCCTGAAGATGGGAGTGGTGTCTTCCTCTGAAACACTGGATGACTTTCAATGGACTGCACAGCACTATATCCCAGAAGCTAGGTATGGGTCTTCGTAACCACTATTCAGACAGCCTCAAAACCTAAAATCTTACACGGCCATTTTATGTTTTTCCTTCCATGAACAGAATAAAGTTGCTGTGCCAAAGTTCCTTATTTATAGGGAATAAACTTCAGGATTTGACTGCTTGTAAATATCAAGTACTAGGTTTCAGCTGCAGCATTTGGGCAACACACAAGTGCACACATAGGGAGCATTCTGTGAACAACTGATACAGAATCAAGGGTACCGAATTGTTACGCACACATCAATGTGATGATACTTTTCACAAAAACATTATAATTAGGGTCACTGTAAATTTATATTTAAAAACACATTCCACCCAAAACAATAATTTAAGGCAAAGAAAACTTTAAAAAACAGTACTTTGAAAATAATAACTTCTTGGAATTTGAATTTTTATTATTGTTTATAGCAACAGAATTATCCAGTAAAAATAATTCAGGGTACTCTAAGCCCGAATGTATGTACGCACGTATGTTTTCCTTAAGACATTCAATCAGTAACACAGGAAACTGACATAAAAATCTACTTTACGAAGCTTACGATCAATAAGAAAGTTATGTAAATTTTTCCTAAAGCAGACAATGTCTTAAATGTTATTCTTGGATCCATCCATGAAAGTCTTACATGACTGTATAAAATTTTTACTCGTTTGCCTGAAAAAATATTCAAACCCAAAAGACTGGGAAGTTTCATTACCTGACTGAATTGGCAATACATTCCAGTTTTAGCCCCTTAACACCAAGCTCACGACACTAAATAATTTTCAAAACTGTATCAATCACATAAATATCAACTACTTGCAAATTAATAGAAAACGTGATTGAGTACAAATTACCTTTCCATGCAAGTTAAATCAAATCAACATAAAATACCAGTCTCCTGTTTTTCCATCACACAAATTCAAACGCTCATGTCTTAATAAGAGGAAGTCATATCATTTTGTTTAAAAAATACAATCAGTTTCACTTAATGTCCATAAGGTTATTCATTCCCAATGGTCTCATGAAGACCTCTTTTGGAGGAAAAAAGGGGGGGCAGTGATGCACTATGCATCATGAAACTGCATGAAAATCACTTCAAAGGAAAGTCACAAAAAAATAAAGTAGGCATAGCTTCCACTTAGCACAGCCAATGCATCTGAATTACCAGAATTCATACCATGCCATCTGATGGCAAATTGTGACATTAAAACATAGGATTTTTCTTTATAAAAATTTCAAAAACCCTTGTAATTTTGAGGTGGGGGGGGAATTTATACATTACTGAAGGAGTATTTCACAGATCTGTTACTATGTAACAACAGCCAGACATAACAAAAAATATGAACCCGAGACACATAAGATATTATTATACATATTATTACATAACAATTCATTCTCATTAATATACCTTGTATGTTTTCAAAATTACAGAGAAACCAATATGATTATTAAACCGATATATCAACAGATCAGCCCATGTGATACTGTGTTTGTGTACAAAACCATGTCTTTAACAAGTGAATCATATTACAATGCAAATAGTTACTTTATATATACATAACAATTTGTACAAAAGTGGGCAAGTAATGTTTGCCTCACTGCAACTATTTACACATCTACTTCCTCCTTTCAATCGCTTTCAGCAGCAAGAAAGAATCTCGACGTGTCCAAAGGTCCTTGCACATGTGATGTAGCTCAAGCAGGCTTTTAGTGTACACATTCATTCACTGACCTCCTTCCTTCTAGGATAAAGAGATATAACAGTGACCAGAGCATTACACTTTTCAGTTTCCCTGGCAAAAAGTACCATTTTCTCAGACATGACATCACGCACTCCAGTAGAAGTTCACTGACTTTTGAGAGGAATATGTTGCTACGATCTTCAGGCTTAAAGAATAAGCCAAACAATGCACAGGCAAAAAGTACAGCAAGCATCACAAATAAAACTTTGTTCAGTTATTGCCTGTAAAGAAGAACAGAAAGAACCAACAGGAGAAAGGAGATAGGGCAACTTGTACTGGCCCAGAAATCACTGTATTTGCAAAGTGAAGATGTAAGAAGGCACAAGAAAAGAAGCACAAGTCACCTACAAACGGTATGGGTGGGTCCAGACAGTGATGGGGACTGCAGGAAGTGAAGTGGGGGATAACCTTCTGCTTACTACTATGGGTCACTTGTGTTACTCTTTTCTGGTTTTCTTCCATCTCTTCTCTTTTGCAAATACAGCCTTCTTTAGGGCCAACACTAGTTGCACCTCACCTTGCCCCTACTGGTTCTCTCTGGGCTCCTTTACAGGTCTATATGTGAACAAAGTTTTCTACGAGCAACTCAGTCTGCTTGCTTGACTTATTTTTTGAACCTGAAGATGGAGGCAGTACATTCCTCTGAAACATCGGTGAACTTCTATTGGACTAGACAGCGTTGCATCCCAGAAGACAGTACTCCTCATAGTCACTGGTGTGAGAGCCTCAAATTCCCTCACACAGTTTTGGCACATCAGCAATTCCAAAGGATCTGCTCGCATGCGGAAACAGACATACACTACCATAATTTGTTACATCTTCACTTTAATATCAAGTAATTTGGAGAAATTAACCTTGTAATTTTCTAGTGCTTCTAAACTTGGTAAATGTTTATCAGTCAATTGCACATTAAACATTTCAAAATAAGTAAATAATACTAACTTATAAAACACAAACATTCAGAAGGTCAAAATCTATATGACTAATGTGTTACTTAGATAGTTAATACAGGCAATTGAACTCCATTTTGTGCAACACAGATAATGGCTACAAATACTCTCTCATCTCAGAAATATCCTGACATTCAATCCTGATTCCTTAACATCATTCTCTGAACAACAGGGGCAAACAGCATTTGTCCGTCCCTCCAAATCATCTTCGAGGGAGCATCATGTAACCTCACACAACCTAAGTCCTATGAGTTCAATGTGATCCCTGGTATGGAAATATTGGTTCCCATCACATGCTGAAAATAAAATGATAAATTTCTACTGATAGTGTAATGATCTACCTCATTCTCAGAGGACACAGACAAGTGTTCTGTTATGTCCTGTCAGACTGACAAGAGAAGTCAAATGAGGCAGGCCATTAAGCACACACACATACATATCACTTTGAAACTGATGAAGGCCAGACTATTAGTGTAGCAACTATGAACATGGGGGCACATGGTAGTGTAGTTGGTTCAGGCACTATGCTACATGCTGGAAGGTCAGGGGTTCGACTTGCAATTAGGTGTCTTTTTTTCAATTTATGTAATCCTTCCAGCCGCACTATGGTCCTGGGGTCAACTCAGCCTCTAACAGAAAAGAGTACCAGGAATATTCTTGGGGTAAAATGTGGCCGGCACATAAGGCTGACAACCTTACCGACATCTATGAGATGACTCTAGAAAATGTGGGAACCTCAACATCTCACAACCGTAGGAGTCTCCACGTCCTGTTACAGGGATAGCCTTACCTCTACTTACTATGAACATTACTTCTTAAAACTGAAGATAACAGCATTATGACCCAACAGTACTATGTTACTTAAGTTCCCACTCTAAATAATGTGAAAAATATCAATCCGAACATAGCATTTTCTTTGAAAGCCCAGAATACAAAATTTAGCCACAAAAGAATATGGCACATGTTACAAAACGCCAAGTACTTTATTTTCCAACTTCTGTAGTTAAATCTAATTATAAATAAGATCTAGACTCATGATGAGGAAGTCCTTGGTTCAAATCTCAGCTTAGACACAGCTCTGTGAATTCTTTCTTGTTTTCACCATTCCCTCCAGGCAAATTCTGGGATAGTACCTACATTAGGCCATTCCACCTATCACCAATCATCCTAACAGCCAATGTTATACAGACTGTACGATCCTGAATACTGCAATATTAGCCCCCCCCCCAAAAACAAAACCCCCATAACCTTACAAAATTTCTCTTCAGAATTAAAACCTTTAAATATACTCTCACAATTTGAAAACATTATGCTATATTCTAAACACAACAATGTGGACAAGTTTTGTAATTATCATGGTTTGGAAATTAATATGTATACATGGGACGAGATGACAGTTCCAGAAATGTCTATCACAGATTCATGTCTTCAGGTCTGTACAGAAAGTAAAATGATAAATCTATTACCCTGCATTATAATATCTTTAAGACTGAATAGAAGAACTCAACCACATACTTCAGTCAATAATTAAAGGTGATTAGACAAACGGAGAGGGGCTACAATGTTACATTTCTGGCTAATTCTTTAATTCCATGCCTCCATCTGTGTCACATGGGCTGAAAACCCCCACATCCTTCAGAAATATATAGTTATCACTTTCCCAAAGATGCTTTAGCGCTTTCTTATTTTCATTTTCGTAGGTAAAACCATGTGTTCGTTTTCATACGTATTTGTATTTTTCATTTTGTACCCACAAGAGTAAGGGAATGCTTAATGAAGGAATCCAGCAAGTGCCAGGCATACAGTGGACATGGAGAAATCGCATTTCTTGCGGACCCACCTTCCCAAGCAAGTAGACATGTCCGTTCTGAAGTGCTGGAGATGGACCAAATATTATGTGAGTCAAAGTAAATTAGCAACAGTGCTAGACTACTGCTTCCTAGAGTAGTGACACTTCATTAAGTGATACTCGTATTTAAAAAGTGACTTCTCCACATTTGCATTCATCATCGGCACTTACTGGCCATTCCAGCATAAGCTTTACCTTCAGGAATCAGACATTCAACTATGGCTGATCTCAAGCAAAGCAGCATTTCCCTTCGACAACTTGCTATCTGCATTATGGACTGTATTAAAGGATAAAGCCCCATAAAGCCCGACTCCAGATACAGATGGAAGCTCTCTTGGTGTCTTCACAGGACCCGACATTCCTCCTGTGGTGCACCAACCGTCCCATGCATCTCCACTTGCCCTGGTGTCCTGACGCTGCTCATCACCAGTGGTAGCATCAACAATTAATGCTGCCTGGGGAACCACCAGCCTCAATGCAGAGTCACCCTGTTCCCCAGCACGAGATGACAGCATGTACTTAAAGAACTCGTACATGGACCAACATATTGCCGTTGACGGCATCTGATACAGGATACGAGCATGTATTCCACGGAAATACCCTGAAGGTCCTCCAAGCTTGTAAACTGTCCGAATAGCATGGATCAGACCTGTGCCTTGCCCCTTCTCAGGCTGCGTGTTTAGTAGCGTTTTGCAGACATCCAGGGGCGTGGTCACTGCGGCAGCAACTGCTCCAGCAATGGCACCAGATACCATGTGAGCAGTGGGGTTATACTGGCGCTCTTCATTTGTTAAGTTCTGAATAAACTCATAAGTCATGAAGTGGATACTTTGGAATGGAACATTCATTGTCAGTTGTGTAGTGTATGAGCGATAGAATGCAAGGATACCTTCCGAACGGTACACTTGCACTATGCAGTCCAAAAGGGATTTGTATGGTGAATTGTACATCTGCAATCGCTGTTTCACCACTGACCGGTCACACACATAACCAAATATCAATCCATCCATCAGCATTCATATTATCCAAGGCACATACATCGTGCATGTGTATGTATCCAAGAAGAACGAAGCATGAAAAAGAATGAAATATAAGAATTAGTAAGACAAAAAATAACTTTATAACACCAGTACAGAACATACAAACTTCAGAGTATAAACTTGAGTATCTGTTCATGTTCAGACAACATGTTCAGATAGGAATGCACGTACAAGTGTATCTGTAACATATATATTCACACAACTGTAAGGCCCTGAATGTCAATAAAGCAGTTTGCTTTCAGGTTTTCATGGTAATTTATTGTTCATGTTTATTATATTGTCAGGTTGTTGTAATGTCTGGATATGTGCCGTGTTGCCAACATTTAGGGGGCACCCACTGCTTCCATATTCAGGGTGGAAGTGATTTTGTGGGTGTACTTTTGTGTATAAGGACTGACAATGGGCAGCAGTCATCAAAAACCAATGGTTTTACACTCCACTGAATGGCCCTGGAAAAGGTCATTTGACACGTCTTTCCTGTCCAGTGTAGTTGCGGGCCTGGATCAAGTATTAGCACCAACCTCCTCCCCCCTCCAAGTACTGTAAACACAATAACCTATATATATATATATATATACACATTCATCCACCTTAGTTGAACCCTGAATATGGAAGCAAAATGGCTCTCTGAAACATCAGTAACATTATCAAGATCTGCATAGTGCAACAACCCAGCAGCAGAACCAACTACAACAACAAAACAATCCTTACTGGAAAAAAATCCCTATTATACTAATGAATTAGATAGCCTACCTTCACAACAGATTGGTCAGCTGATCCATGTTCAATTTTCTGGAACTTCAAGGTACCTGACTTTACTACAGCTTGAATACAGTACGGACCTGAGTGGAGTTTGACTTTGATGTCGTGGTATTATGTAAACAGCAAAGTACATCAATGCCTAAAGTGATGCTCCATTTTTCCGTTTCTCTGATTACCTCAAAAAATGAGGTATGGTGGATAAACACGAAATACAAATGCTACAGTTTATTTAGCTGTTTACTTAACGATGCTGTCAGTATCGAGAATATATAGTGTTGGATAATTAATGAATGTAGAGCACTTTGTGGAATGAGAACTGTCAAGGGAAAGGACTTGGAGAAAACCCACCCTAGTACAATATACATGCCATAGGTCAAATATAAGAAAAGGCTGCTTTCAAACAAATATAAAAGAAATCACTAAAGACGTTCCGAAAGTCGTCTGGAAGAGACAGGTTAACCAGAAACTAAAGTCACAAATTATATCTCAGTCTTTCTCCATTCAGCCACTGGCCAGTTTCTCTGGAAACAACCTCTTCCTTTGCCATTCTGGTGGAAGGTTTACAAACGCAACATCCTCTTTGCTTACCACAGCATGAAGCCCTTGCACCTAACTCCATACTCCCAGTCAAGAACTCCTGCTCCATAAGCTAAACAACAGACTTTCATTTGTAGTTACTGTACTGTTTATCGTCTTCTGAGGCTGTTACTTAGAGTTTGTCTCTTATGTCTTGACAGCAGTTTGTTCTTGATCACTACCTTTCCACTGAACACAACTGAACTTTCTTCTTGAACCTGTCTTGTCAGCTCACTGCACTGTTCTACCACACAAGAATGCTGCATGCCAAACCTCAGCGCAGGTAGACTCACCAATTCCTCACACTTATACTCTGGAACAAGACACTCCTGAACCTTCGCACAGGATCCTGGACCACCTCGAAATGTTCACCCCCAGAATATTGCAGAAGGGGGAAGATCATGCAGCTTTATTGAAAGAGATGTGTGTGCAATGCTTCTATTCCCCCTTGCTAATGCAACATTATCTACACCTTTCATGGAAGACTGTTCTCACATTTTCTTTCCTTTTGCTTTCCACAAAGTGTGCAGATATACACAGACTGCCCCTTGCGGATCAATGTAAGGGGCCGCATATGACAGCAGTGCTACTAAATAAGCAAAGATTCACAGAAACAAACATACATAGGATGTAAATTAAGCATAAGTCTGATTAACCAATCATCCATCTAAATACACATGTTAATAGCCCTCAAGCTTATCAACATTCAGCATCTCTTGTACTCTCACGTGCATGAGTGACTATAGATGTTGTTTTGACTTGGAATTTGATTTATTGAACACTTACAGATCATAACTACAAGTAAATATAACAGCCTCACTGGTTTACTAACTCCAGGACACATAGTGTCTTCACTAGTTGTCTCCTGGTAACATATCTTAACACTGTCCTCTGCTTACGTCCGTACCGCCTGGAACATATCCCACAACTGCACTAAGCTCTAAACTTTGTCCCGCTTAGAACCCCTTGGCATGGAACACGAGAAAACACAGCTCTTCTAATGTTGCGTGCAAGTCTGTTGGGACTCCCATGTGACTGCTACTCAGCCAGTCCAATGCTATGCATGCTGCTGCTGTTTATTCCTCGACGTTTGCCTAGCAATGGGTCTGTACAATACATTATACATTAGACAGTATCACAGTATGGGAAATAAAAAAAAAGAACATACTGTCACATGTAAGGGTGGGGGGGGGGTACACATGACAAAAATAATGGGTTCTAGATCGGATGATAGGATTTATTACCTCTTTGGTTATATGTTATCTTGGGCCATGCCATAGCTCAAGCGGTTAGTCGCTGGCTTCCCACTGTGGCAGCCCATGTTCAAACCCGTGTCTGGTCAAGCAGGGTTTGTGGTTGACAAAGTGGCGCTGGGGTAGGCTGTCTCCGAGTACTACGGTTTCCCCTGCCAATCTTCGTTCCACCAATTGCCCCATCATAATAATCGCCCGGGCTACATACAATAGGCCAATCAGTAGCCGCTGTGCTGAGTGGAACCAACTGGACTCTATCCCCCCAATAGGCGAATTATAAAAAAAAAGTTGTCTTAATAATAACACTTATTATGGCGCTATCGTTGATTTACACACACATTACAGTTCACTGTTGTGCACGAACTAGGATTTTCTGTCTTCACCAGTCCTCTCCTAGCAACAGATCTAAACACAGAAATTAGCGCTTCAAATTGCTATGAAGTCTTCATGCCATTTCTGGTTCAATCACCATGGAACCTCGGAACTCATCAAAATATTCATCCAAACACTTAACTCCACTTCACTGCGCTGTGCTCTGCACTACACTCTGCAATAATTTAAACTACTACAGGTCTTCATTATATAGTCTCTGCACGGACAACATAGAGAACACAAGTCATGGGATTCCCAGCCAGCGAGTTCATTGCGCACTAACTGTTACTTTCAAACAAGCTATAACATTCATCCACTGTTGCACGTTGGAAAGTGATTACCAAACCGTTCCCTAGAAACGCTCTGAGCAATCCATTATATTATGATAGTTTGCTATGTACAATATGATCTATCGATCAAATATCTTACTATTACCATTACATTATATCACATCACTATCACTATTACAGTTGACCACAGTATACAAAAGCATAAAACAAATAAAATGATAATCCACTATGCAAGCATATACTCATCTGATTTATCAAATAACCACGGTACCCATAACTTATAATTTTGGGCAAGCAGCTCCAAATCTTTCAATATGCATACATTTCTTTTTGAGTATTAGATATACATTTATCACATGGAAATTGGAGTAATGAAATGCGTTTCAGTTTGTAACCTACAGCTAAGAGCATGGTAAGTAAATAACATACCTTCGGCTGGGTTCATTATAGCATCATGTAGTAGGGTTGCTACGCATCCGGCTGCACCTGATAACAAACAAATGTGTTGCAACTTACATCAACAAACCGCACACTATATGAGGGCTAAGCCACTTGATTTTCTCTAATTGGACAATGAAAATAAAGCAGCCTCTCAGCTTGCCTTGTCAAGCCAATTAAGATCTAATCGGGGGGTCTTCTTCCAGAAATTTGTAAAACCAAGGAAGATGCCTACCTTTGTAAATGCTGGCTGGAAGACTCTGAAAAAATTACTCTCCAGAGATACATGCACCAGGTGCATCTTTCACCACACTTTAAATTATAAAAACTTTGAACCATTAGGCCTGCAAATACATCTATTAGTGAAGTTATCAATAAAATCCCAGTGCCCTACCAATTGGTGTTGTTTTTGTGTGAATGGTTCTGCATCTGAGTGCACTCCCTGCTATCCAAAGTCATGTCTCTCCCCCACTTGACCACTACAAAACCCAATTCTAAAGAAAAACGAGCTTTCCAACCACTCCTGCTTGGCAACTCTAAACTAACATGTACTTTCCATACAATAATTAACAACAAAAGAGCTCACCATATGCTAAATGATTTGATCGTGTTGTTCCTTGAGTGAGGGTGTTTTTCATGTACTCATAACAAGAGAAGTACAGTGCATGGGCAGGTCCTGCACCCAACACAACAGCACTCATTCCACGTACAGGCCGTAGGACTCCTTCATTTTTTACCATACGAAACAATGCTTCTCCCACACCTCTGTATGCAGCATTTGGTGACGGTGACAAGTTTTGCATCCGCGTCTATGTTAAACAAATTGAATCCTGTTACATATTTCCAAACTCAAAGGTAAATTATAATCATTCAACACAATTTCTAACCGACCGTGATTAGGTTATATCAACAAAAGCAAAGATACTTTTCTATTTATTTCATGGCTGTACGATGTGTAACGCAATACAAGATACTCATAATCATATAAAACACAAGGAAAATATAAGAGTATGTTTCCATACCATACCTTGACAGAATCCAAGGGGTACATTACGCAATGTTCCATTACACCAGCAACGGCACCCGCCGTCATATGGGTCAGTACGTTTTCGGTAGGAAGTGTTTCATAGTCATTATCAAAGTCCATAATAGTCTGTTTACGAATACTGACACTTCACTAGAAAAGTTGTATAGGTCCTTGGTAATCACTTTTTTAACAAATTAATTCCCACACACCCTCACTGCAAGAATAACGTCCAATATTCAGAATGAGTATCACCCCACACACACACCATCAGCGCGACGTTCTACAGGCTTACGCTCGTTATATAAACGTTCTCTTTGCCAGGCCCGTACTCTGTGAGACACCGCCGGTTTGATGCAAATTTTTGCCTATTCATCTTCCTCGGTGAACAATGTTGGCTATCGATAACGGGAATTGGTACAGTGGGTACGACACAGAGCCAGAGAGTAATGTAGCAGAAAAATTCAAACAATATCTTGAAAGTGAAAATAAAATACAGATTAATTAAATGTAGTTACTCAGTCACGTTTTAATACACCAACTTGATATGTTTTCCCGACTCCAAATTTCTGCGAATTTCATGTAAACCCAACATTATTTTCATTAAAAATACTACATGCAGTACCGAATTTTAAGAACGCTGGTGCTGCTATAATTTGCAAAGAAATGGTAGGAACTAGAGAGCCGCGAAATTTGATTATGACAATGGAATCATTACGTTAGCGGGGCAGAGAATGAAGTACTGTATAAGATTGAGCAGAACTTATATATCCCTTCACGCGTTTCTTATTTATATGGTTTTAATTTACATGTTTTAACCATTTAGTTGGAAGGTACAGCAATCTACATGTAGAGCTAAACCATTTCAAATTCTGATAAAAAAAAGCGTGCCCACAAAATACTTTGTGTTCTCCTCGTGGTCAGATAATGCCGGAAATGCCAAGAGTGTCCACACCAGTTCCGGGGCTCACACAGCCTCCTAAACAATGAGTATCAGGGGTGATATCCGAGGGAATAAAGCGGCCGGGCCTTGAAACTAACCACTCTCTTCCATCCAGTGCCGAATTCAAGAACGGTAAAGCTAGCACTCCGCTACCCAATAAGACTTCATGGCATATTGCTTAAATAATTAACACAGACACAAATTTACTTTTACTTTATCTTCTTGTCCTTAAAATGGACCTTAGAGAGATAGGATGGGATGGTATGGATTGGATTGATCTGGCTCCGTATAGGGACCAGTAGAGTGCTTCTTTGAACACGGTAATGAACTTTCGGGTTCCATAAAATGCTGGGAACTTCTGGAGTAGCTGCAGATTTGGCTTCTCCTCAAGAAGGGCTTGTCACCATTAGCAAGTCAAACTCAGTAGCGCTGAGCTGCACTTCTATTCTGAGAAATAGTTTTTGTCCTTTTAGTTAGATTATTACTCTAATTGTTAAACAGATTTATGTGAAGCATGCTTATCGGTTGAAATAAAAGATTTTTTTTTCATTCTATGGGAAAATAAGAAACGTAAATTTGAGTGGAGTACATGACATTCAAAGAAAAGATGATAAAAGCATTCATAATTTCCATCGAAAAATCTGAAGAGAATATACTAATACCAGCGTACAAGCGAAGAATGTTAGGGACAGGGATCTGTGGCTCGTATAATAGGGAGCTTCTGGATTCAGTAAAGGGCCAAGCCCTAGGGAACTAGTAGGCATACTTTTCGGGAATGTAACTAAAGTATTGTCCAGTATGTGAAACGTAACTTGTAACGAAAGCGCAGAAATGCTCTACACGTCTATTCGGAAGGTTTTCGGTTCGAAATTCTGCCGTGATGTTTTCACTATTGGGTTCAGCGATTTTACCCAGTCTCTGGGGCAAATGCCAACATAGGGTCCCGATTATAGGCTTCCTTCCTAATCCTTTCCAGTTCATTGCTCAAATCATCCTAACATTCGATTCTGTATCGTCATTGATACTGACAGTTTCGCAAAGTAAACCAAAAAAAAAAGAAATTATTTAAAAAATTATAATAGAGGTGGAATTTCAACAAAACCCATGAAGTACAGACGAAACATCATGGCGCACAAAGGAAAGAAGACCTAATCGCAAAGCATTCTTAATTTCAGACATACCTATTGCGTACAGGGCAACTGCATAACAATGTACACTAAAATGACATCACACATTGCAACCTGAGGACGTGCAAATGCACACGGCGCCAACATTCAAGACGACTAAAAAACTAAAGTCCTTGACATTGAGTATTAAATTAAAAGTGAGTGCACAGTTTATTTTCTTCGTGTACAGGCCTATCATTGCCCAAGCGTACTTGGGAATGAAGATAAGACAATTTCCTCTCTAGAATCTAGATGAGGTTAAGTAAGAACTAACAGTATGTACACTTATGAAGTAAGATAAGAAACTGACAGCTCCCTCTTAGATAACGTTTCGGAGGAGAAATGTTGTGCAACATTACAGGTCACACACAACACGGCTTACGTATTATTCATGAATCATTGTGACGACCAATAAAGCACCGCTATCTTCAAATATGTTGATAAAATCTCAGCGTATTTGGCACATACGCTGATGGGCACCCGAAAAACAAACAACGGGATAAATAAGCGGCGTCCGGAAATATATTTGGTGACATCAGGCTTGGATCTTGTCGAAACAACATTTATCCTCCCTGACATCTTTCCGGACAGGGATTATAGTCCTGCGAGACTTGCTGGACTGAGCCAGCTGCCTCAAAAACTACTGATTCTGCGCGTACCCATCTCAAACCTCTGCCGGTTTACCGACAATCCTGGCTTTGTTCCTGGATATCATCACTACCTCCATGCGAATAGCGGAGTGTTGTCTCGAAATAGGTCACGACCGTCTCTTTCCAAATATTTCCAGTTCATCATTTGTCAATTAACCCATTATTCATGCTATATATATGTTAATCTATCGGGAACATCCTTAAATAAACCGTAAATAAAAAAAAATCAGCGGTTGAAATATAAATTGTAAGTTGCTCTAGTGTTCAAAGTATCGATTTGCAGCCATTTTAACACGAGTTACCAAATTACGTCATTCCACTGTATTGATGTGGACTGGTACCTTTATATTCTGTTAAACTGACAGAAGTAGTTCTTTTAATACCAATTGAATCGGTGGACATTTATTTGTTGCACGACAATGGCACCCACGCAGTACGGATACCTTGTTCCTACGCATTCACACATTTCATGATGTTTGCTTACGATACAAGCTTCTACTCCGTTCGTTAATGAATTTCTTTCTTGATTATAAACATTTCTCGTTCAGGAGTAAGCCAATTTTATATGCATTGAATCAGATGAATGCAACCAAAATTCTCACGTCCCATTTTTTGACATCCATTTTAATACTGTCGCATGCCGTGAATCCGGAGGGGAACTTCCATAGGAACGCAATAACAGTGGGCTGTTGCATAGGAACGGACCAAACAACAATTGAGTTTCCTGGAGATGAAAGGACAACCGAGGGTTCGTTGCATAACAACGTCCGAGGCGAGATTATAAAACTCCGGCTACAACAAGAGGCCTTGTATATATTCTACATAGAATTAGAAAGTAAGATTAAATTTGTAAATATATGTAAATACTGACAATGGGCGTACTAATACAGGCGATGACTGACAAATGAGAGACCCGAACTGTCGTCAGAGAGGGTGGCCCAAATGGACAGGACAGTAACTTTCATATAAGAAGAAACATCTCGACACCAAAACAGAGAGACTGACCGACCGTCAGTCGCAATGTAACTTTGACTTTTACTCTGAGACGAGCCAGTTTGTGTTTGATCTTCGAAGTGATCAGTCATTAGTCGTCAGTCTGGCCTGAGTCTGAGTCTCATTTTACGACCGACGGTCAGTCGGCCAGTCTGTCTTGGCATAAAGCACCCATCTTGGGTTTGCGACCAGATCCTTATTACTGTCTGACAGTAAGGGTCTTGCTTTTGTCGGCGCCTTCTCTAAGAAGAGGACGGGTCTATCTTTTGTATATGCTGCTGGGCCTTGCCAGCGCAGCGTTTCTCGGGTCCGAGTCCCTTGGTACTCGAGACCATACATTACTGTCTCAAATTTGAGACTTCCCTTCTCGTCACCTCCTACGACTCGCAGGGTCACGGTGGAGGTATTCGAGCCCGCCTCCTCTGTCTACTCCCTTCGAAGCTGGACTTTCATAACCTGGTCTCGGACGGAATATAGCGCACCATGTAAGAACATTTGGTCCCGGCCGCTGTTATGCAAAGAACCCTCTGTTGTACCTTCATCTCCGGGGAAACGCTTTTGTTTGTTAAGGTATTCCTAGACAACGGCCCACTGTTATTGCGTTTCCATGGAAGTGTACCTTCCGGACTCCCGGCATGCCACAATATAACAAAATTGCCAGAGATTTCAACGGGCTGTTTTCCTGCTGCTTATATAGGCTGTTCCAGCAGGAGAGATCGCTATTCTGAGAGGAGGTCATAGTATCGGTCATTTTAAGCAAAAATTGTATGTGTACATGACTAAAATTGCGAAAGTTTTCCTAGATGCAGCTATTTCACTGTACCCACTGTACCCTGTACAAACTTACGTCAATACATTTTTCATTTAGTTGTGTTCCAATATTTTTGTTTTGTTTTGTTTTGGGGGCTAACGTTTACTTTACAAATGAGGATTATCGGTCAATCCGGACGACATATGACCTCAAATTACTCCGGATTAGCGAGGGTTTACTGTATAGTACTAGTCTAGATACTAGCTTCGTCATGATAAAACCGAACCCACTCATCAAGTTTGTTGACAACAATTGGTTACATTTCCGACGTAAAACACGTGAATAATTAAGAACCATTCATTCCTGTCCCTGTTGCAGGGCTCATGCACTGCAAGTCAGCGGTTAGAAACAATTGGTGATTGTTTTCATTTTCTGGTTTGTTTCATACAAATCAGCAGGAAGCATCCATTATTGCATTGACCCTCCAGTTTCGCATTTTAACATCTATCTCTGCTCGTTTGTATGCTCAGCCATGCTTAGATAAGTGAGTACCTCAAAGTATTTCATTATTAACTAAGCGCTTTCTGATGCTTGGCTTATTCAAATTAGGAAATTCTGCTCCTTGTTCTCATTATGCAGTACATTATATACCGTACAAATATCGAAGGCTCAGAGTGGCTCAGTGTTTCATGTTCTTACACAAGACAGGCATGTCTGTGGGTCTTACAGAGATGTGGGGCCTCAGAATGTACACTCCGGGAGGTTCCCTCCCGTACTCATATTGAAATATAGTGAGAGCCAATACTGCAACAGTACAAAATATAATACATTTCAACAAGCTCTTATAAATAACGCATTCTTCGTTAAAATGACGACAAATAATAACAGAGAAT